TTGGCCAAATATATCCCCACCATTTTCCTCTTGCCCCCAAATGTCTATAATGATCACTCAATCCTAACTCATTTTCAAAAACCGGACTAACAACATGCTTTACATGGTAATATCTAAGCTATGTGGAAATAATGTACATAATTAGTACATACATGTTTGCTCAGATGTTTACTAATGGCTGCCCAAATCAGGCTCACAAATCCTCACTGTAGGCCAAGCAGCAGGCTCAGAATTTTTTTTTGGTACTGGGGATTGAACTCATGAACTCGTGCTTTCCCAGCAGGTGCTTATGCTGCTGAGTTAAATCCCCAACTCCAAGGTTCAGAATTTTCTTTTCTTTTTTTTGGTACTGGGGATTGAACTCATGATCTCATGCTTGCCAGGCAGGTACTTGTACCACTGAGCTAACCCCCGCCCCTAAAGCTTAGAATTTTATACTGGAAAAATTGTAGCCACTCTCCAAGCACCTCTACTAGATAGGCTTTATCCAGATAGGTAACCAGGCAGGAAGTTGCTATAGTGAAAGAGAGAATCCAGACTTGAACCTAAGTCTGTTTTGACTCAGGAACTATTTTCCCATCATGTTCTGCTGTCGTGTTGAGGCACAAATACATTTTCTCAGAATCATTACTTCCCAGTCAAATTTCTCATTTGCTGGAGAGAACCAAAAAGCAGAGTGAACAAGGGGCTGGTGTCAAATTCAAGCCTTTGCTTATCCAACCTACCTGGCTGAACATTTAGATACAATTACAAAATAGTCACAAAGTACCCAATACTACCAAGCTGGGCCACCTTGCCCTTGGTGTGTGTGTCTTTTCAACTGGCAGAATATTTTTCCTGGAGAACAAAATGAAAGTGTTCTATACCTCTGAGACAACATGTCTAGTCTAAAGATGATTTTGCAAGTATTGAGCATAAAGATCTACTTTTTGAAACTTTTTTTCCCCTGTTAGGCATGATTACCCTTCCTAACATTTTATTTAACAAAAAAGATGAGACTGGGCCAGGGGTTTAGCTTAGCGGCATAATTGCCTGTCTAGCAAGTGTGAGTTCGATCCCCAGTACAAAAAAAAAAAGATGAGATTAATTATTTTTGACCTCTGGGATTCTTTCATAAAATAACTACGCATGTATTCTTTCCAGAAACATATACATACACAAAAATGTGTGGTTAGAACTACAAAAATTTAGTTTTAGGAATTTCTTGAATCCCATTCATATACCACTGGAAGCTCACAGAGCCCAGAAAAAACCTTGCTATAAAAGCTCTCTGCAGAAAGGCCTATAGCATTTTAAGGGTCCAGGAAAAAGACTAGCTAGCAATCTCATCACTCTTTATATTTCCCAAAGACACATATTAAATAAATACACTAACTTCCTTAACTGTCTCTCATATTAGTGAAGAAACCAGGAATCTAGTGACTTAAGTAAATCATTAAATCTAAAGATGCAGAAGTTTAGGGCTGGGATTTAGCTCAGCAGCACAAGCACCTGCCTTGCAAGCAGGCGGTCGTGAGTTCAATCCTTGGTAAGGATAAAAATAAATAAATAAATAAACAGAAGTTCAAAGTGTTGTTATAGCTTAAACTCTGCTACTTCTGTTTCTGTTTCTGTCCCTAAAAGAGAAAGAGGGCTTAGGATTTAGTTCAGTGGCTCAAGTGCTTGCCTGGTAAGCGCAAGTTCATGAGTTCAATCCCTGATACAACCCCCCCCAAATATATGTATGTATAAACCTAAAAGAGAAAGAAACATTAGTTTGGCATAGAATTTGAGTTCATCCTACTTTAATACTCACAATTACTATATGAAAAAACACTCTTGAAATTTAGCAAAAGTTGTTCTATCACTATACGTATGAAAAGAACACATAGTCAGTTCTTACATTTTCAACACACCAATCTGTGTCAGTGCAATGGAACTTAAAAATATGTGGCTGAGGGGCTGGGGATTTAGCTCAGCGGCATAAGCGCCTGCCTTTCAAGCAGGCAGTTGTGAGTTCGATCCCTGGTACTGATAAAAACGAAAAAAAAAAAAAAAATGTGACTGTAACTTTTTTTTTTTGGTATCAGGGATCAAACTCACAACCTCAGGCTTGCCAACCAGGCACTTAGGCCACTGAGCTAAATCTCGAGCCCCTGTAACTTTTTGAACGTACAAAAGTGTTTGGCAAGGACCGTATCTATGAATAACTGATAAAATGTCTCATGGAAATTTAAGTTACAATGGGGACCAATATTTTCTTATAAAAACATTAAATATTATCTTCTCTAAATACTGTTCCAAAGTCAGTGATAGTGAGACTGAGTAATGTGTAACTTTACAAAGATCATAATTTCATTACTTGACAGTGACCCTTTAAACAAGAAATTACACCCAGCAAAGCACCATTTGGAATATACAATCAACTGATACTCTGAATCTACAGTATGTAGTACTTAAAATGTAAACTAATTCTTTTCCTAATACCAAGGAAATAAAAGGTCTGATGCCTATCACTAATATTTAGGCCAATATTTCTGAAGTCAGGCAGGTTTTACATCTGAGGGAAGCATGTTTATACCTCAGAATCTTCATGCAAGACAATTTGTGTCTGTCCCAAAAGCTGGAATTCTTGAGCACTAATTCCCGCAAGTCCTGCGATGGTATAGCTGAAGTTACTAGCTTTGAGGAACACGAATTTGTATTTTACATATGTTTATTTCTACCTAGAGATTATGTTTAACTTCACTGTAACCATACTCCCATTCATGACTGTTCCTCTTTGAAAGAACTGGGGAAAAAAGAAGAGAACGGACCTAATTTTAGAAAGGAAACTGAAACAGCCAAAAGCATCCTACACAACTACTTTATCCGGGGTCGGGAAACGGAAGGGGGGGGGGGGGACGGTCTTCAAACTTGGAAGGTAACGACCCGGCTCAATCAAACCCGGGTTCAAAACTCAACCCAGCCACTGGAGCTCACTGCACCGCCCCCGATCGGATCCGCCGTCGCGCCCGCTTCTCCCCCTCTCACCGCCTAAGCGGTACCGTTGACGAGAAACTCATCCAAGTTCAATCAGTGCGCTTTGGGGAGGAGACGCCGATGTAACCCGCATCGAGCACCACCAGCTCGCCCATCGGCTTACAACTTCCCCTTAAAATGCGGATGGCCACCTAGACAGTGTTTGAAAATCAAAGAAAAAATACAATGAAAGCGCCTGGCCGTCGCCAGTGCCGACAAGACCCGGGGCCGCGCGGGGATACTGCGGGCGAGGCGACTCCCGCGCTCCGCTGAGGAGCCGAGTTTCCCCCTCGCCCGCGCCCCGCACCCGCCAGGCAGGGAGGACAGGGGGCAGACGCGGCCGGCGCCTCGAGACCTGCGGCCAGGCCTTTCGGGGCTCCGGCCGCGCCCGAGACCCGCCCCGCGCGGGCGCCAACTTTGCCGCCGCCGGCGCCGCGCCCGCCTCAACCGGCCCGAGCTCACCCTGCAGCGGAGACGCTGGCGGCCGGGAGCTGGTGGCTTCCGGGGTCGCGGCCAAGCCGGGTCCGCAGCGCGGCGGCGCGGGCGAGCTCACCTGGCGGCTGCGACGGCCTCGGGCGGCCTCTGGGCGTGGGCCGGCGGGCGCGGCCGGGGCGCGGGCCGGGGCTGCGGGCCGCCGCCGCCGGGCTTCCCTCACGCGCCGGCCGCGAGACCCCGAGCGCGGGACGGCAGCGCGGGCTCCCCGGGCGGCGGCGGCGGCGGCGGCGCGGCGCGACTCAGGCGGCGGAGCGGGCGGCCGCGGGCGCCGCCGCCTCCTCCTCCATGGCTGTTTACCCGGCTGCATTGTGGGAGTTTGACCTCCGCGCCGCCAGCCGCCGCCTGGGCTCGCGCCGCCGCCGCCGCCGCGCACGCCATGGGAGCCGTGACTGACGGTGAGGCTTCCTGCCCGGCCGCGGCCCTTCCCCGCGCCCGGCCGCCCCCCTAGCGCCGCGGAACCTTCCCCTAGCCCCGGCCCCTTTCCCAGCACCCAAGCTTCTCCTCCGGCCGTCCCTCTGCGTCCCCAACCTTCCCGGGGCCTGGCCGCCCCCAGCGTCGCGGCCCTTCCCGGGCCCCAGCCGCCCCAGCCTCGCTCCTGAACGCCCGCGCTCCGCTGGCCCGCGCCTCTGCGGAGCCCCCACACTCGCTGCCGGGTGTCCCGGGGCTGCGCAGGCAGGGAGGAGTGCGGGGTGCTGGGGGCGCCAGTGGGAAGCGGCGCGCGGTGTCCGGGGCCGTGGGGCGCGGGGGAGCCGGAGACCGCAGGGCCTGTGGAGGCCCGGGAGGGAGTGGGAGAGCCAGGGCGAGCAGATCGGAGTTGAAGAGCCGGGGGTGCCGGCACGCGGAGACGGAGGGTGACACCTGGTGGGCTTCCCAACCTGCAGTGTGGGAGAAGACCCACAGTCGCTGGGCCTGGTCCCCGGGGCACCTGGGACCGGGACTGGGGTGGGGGCGGGGTGGAGGTGACGACCTCTAGAAGAAGCAGGTGTCACTGGGCTCCCGCAAGCCGTCAGGAGTGTTCCTGGGATGCTTACAAGATAAAGAGCCAGTGTAGGAGGAGGCCACCATGGCAAGAACCGCGTGGTGTGTCTTCAGGATGTTTTGTCAGGGCAGGGTGGGGGCAATTGTAAGGAGGGTGGTCCACAGTCCGAGCATAAATAAGGGGCGCTTTAGGCAAGGATGAACGGGCATGATGGGCAATTGGAGGAGAACCTAGCAAGCATTCTATTAGTGAGAGGGAGGTCCTTGGACTCCTGGAAAAGCAAAATCAAGAGGTGTTGGTCTGTTTAAGGGGTGGGTGACAGATAATTAGACTCCTGTGGAGAGGCTGCTTCTGAGGAGTTGAGGGACCAGGCAATAGGAAGCATAGGGATAAGGCCAAGTTTGTGGACTGATAAGTAGCAGAAGTGGGAACCAATTAAAGGTCTGGGGATTTATGGTAATTATAACATTGCCTCATTGCCGTTTCATTTATTCAGTAGATATTATCCTCCCTGGATTGGGCCTTGCTTGGATTTCCAGCCTAAAACTCACAGGCAAGACCTTTTCTTCCACTAAAGTTGCAGTGTGGTGGGGAAGGCACATTGAATAGTCCTAAGGGTTGTAACTGTTACTACTGGGAGGTACAAGGTTGGGAGTTGTAGGCTTGTATAAAAGATTGTTCATCCATTCCTGAAGATTAGGAAACCTCCTTGAAAAATTTACTCCTGATTCCTGCATTGTATTTTATTTTGGTTTTTTGAGACGAAGTCTTATTGTACAGGTGGGTCTGGCTTTGAACTCCCTCTGCAGCCCATGCTTGCCTCAAATTCACAGTGATCCTCCATCCTTAACTTCCAGAGTGCTGGGATTATAGGCATGCAGCACTACTCCCAGCCTAATCCCGTTGTTAAAGGATGAATAGGTACATTTGGACTGCAGTTTGATGTAGAGAACCATTTGTAGAAGGCCCCAAAGTGTTGGAAGAATACAAGATAGTGATTATTGTTTAGAATTTAGAAAGAAAGGAGCCACAAATTTTAAGGGAACAGGAAAGGCACTAAAAGTTTTCAGTGCTGATGTGCTGTGATCAGATTTGGTTTTATTTTTGTGTATCACAATGCTGAGGATTGAAGCCAAGTTCTTATGCATGCTAGGCAAATGCTGTAACCACGGACCCACATTCTCAGCCTCAGATTTGTATTAAAATACACAGTGTACTATGTGAAGATGGACAAGAGAGAAGGAAACTGAGGCACTAAGTTCTCTTCCAGCATGACATTTATCTTACTTATACCATGTGTCAGTTAATGTACTAGTTATGCTCATTTTACAGATGAAACTTCAACCCATAGACATGAAGTAACTTGTTGATAGGAATTTAGCCAACTAGAACACACCTGGGCGACTGCTGTCAAGACCCCTTCCTAGTAAGGTTACGGTCCACCATGTTGGCCCTCCGGCAGAGAGAAGTGTGAGATGGGGCACCAGGATGGTTGTGATTGGATATGAGGGAGGGATTGGAGGGTACCCTGGGTTTCTGACTGGAGTGACTGCCTGTCAGTATAGTTCTCTGTTAGAGTATTGGAAAGGAATGATAGATTTTTGTCAGGTGGGAGTTCAGGGGTGAGGATGGGTTCGGTAAACATCCTAACTGCAATTTGGCCCCCATATTCCTAGAAGGCACAGAAATCCCTCCTCTGCCACATACAAGCTCTCTGACCTTTGAGCCTCAACTTTATTCTCTGTCAATGGAAATAATGAAACTCAGAAGGTTATTTTAAGGGTGAAATGCAGTAAAAGTTGTAAAGAACTTGACACTGAATCCAGTACATAGTAGCATTCACTAAGTGTTAGTAAATACCAAAGTTGTTTTCTGGTTTCTGCCTTCCTGTGATGAAAATTGACCCTTTTTCATCTTTCAATCTATACATACTGCCCTTTCCTATCTTTTCTACTTTTGGGGAAAAAGATGAGCTGAAATGAGTGGCATGTGTGATCAGTCAACAGATATCTGTTGTGTCCCTTGTAAATGTGAGGTGCTAGTTACAGCACAAAGCTAGACATAGAAAGGTTGGCCCAATCCCATCCTGGAGGAAGGGAGGTCCTAATGGACAATCAAAGGAAGGTAATTTCCTAGAAGAAAGCATAAGTTTGGAGAATGAACTTGATGGAATGATGACAGAGTAACAGAGGGCTGTAATAGGACTGTCAGGTCTGATCTCTGAAGTCGTATTTAAAGTGGGACCTAAAAAAATCTGCTACATGAAGAACCCAAAAAAGTAGAGGTACCTGGCCAGGAGCTTGGTGTACACCTATAATTCCACCATTTGGGAAGCAGAGGCAGGAGGATTTCTGTGAATTCAAGGCTAGCCTGAGCTACTAGTGAAAATCTATCTCAAAAAAACAAACAAACAAAAAATAGTGGCAAAGGTATAGGGTGAAAAGAACTGAACTATATATTTACATAGTGAGACCCTGTGTCACAAAACAAAAAAACATTTAAATAGAAGGAGCAAAGGCTTGGCGTGAAAACAAGCTCCGAACCCTTTTGAGAAAGATAAGAAAGGCCAATGAGGTTGCATCCAGACAGCCAGAGTGCAGAGGCACGTAAATAGGAGCTTGTGAAGAGCCTTGCGGCTGCGGGAGGAAGGCTGGCTGTTTCCTTGGGCAACTAGTGCTGCTTGCTGACCCTACCGGGAGTTCGTGGTCTGCTCACCTCTGAGGTGATGCTGAGCTGCCTGTAGAGACTGGTATCAGAGGAGCTAAGGGTGAAAGCAGGGAATCCAACAAACATTGGACATGAGAGCCACGGGCATTAGTGACCACAGTGCAGAGGACAGTGACGTGGGTGGTACTGATACACGCTCTCCTGAAAAGCTCTCGGGAGTAGTTTTGGTGTTTAGATGGGCGTCTCTTGTCCTCTTACAAAGGTGGGGTACCTGCATCACTCATGGCTTCTGTCACCCTTACACACGGGCCTGTGTCTCCGAAAACCCTGTATTTCTTCACCTAATTGAGGACCTGGACTGTCTCAGAAAGTGAGAGGCACTCTATCACTGTCTGTAGATACTAGGCTAGGGATTTTCACCAGCACTGTCATTTTATAGATAAAAAATGGGGATCCCGTGGAGTTAATGGCTGTAGCCAGTTAGCAGCAAAAACCACTCTTCTCCCTCTGAGGGCACCCTAACATTTTAGCTAACTGAAAGGCAGTTGACATTGTGCCTGCTAAACTATGTTAACAGTTTGTGTTTGTAGGTGTTAACTTAAAGGGTGTTAAACAATGCCATAGTACCCTGATAGAAATAATTTCTAAGCACCTTGTGCAGTACAGAGTACATTAGGTAGTTATATCAATATACTAGAGCAACCAACAGATGGGAAAGGAGAAAATGGAGAGGAACAGGATCCTGCATTCTGTTTAGAAGAGCATGTGGTTTTGACAGTAGCTTCTGTTTTTTAATTAGAAAAGTATGCTGCATGGATTTAGGCTTAAAATTTGAAATAATTTTTAATATACCTATAAACAATATGACAGGATAATGCAACAGCACTATGACTGTAATAATGTAATTGTGTCCATTTCCTCTACATGCAGAAGTGTCACTGTCATCTGCAGAAGGAAGATAACAGCACAAACTTTATGGGGTTTTAAGGATGATGTGTGAGAGATAATACACATACAGCACTTTAGAGCTGTGTGATTGTGTAGCTTATTGCTGAAGCAGGACACTTTCCAGGGAGAAAGATACCAAACAGGATGGATGTTTACCAAGTAGGAATGTATAGATACTATGTTTGCTGCTGTGGGTTAGGTCTTTGTCAGTTAGCGAAACAGAGTGAATTGGACATTTGTGGGCTAAAAAACAGGACTTAGCTGGGTGTACTGGTGTACACCTGTAATCCCAGCACTTGGGAGGCTGAGGTATAAGGGTCCTTGTGAGTTAGAGACCAGTCTGAGCTACAAAGTGAATTTAAGTCCAACCAGAACTGCATAGTGAGACCCTGTCTCAAAAAGACAAAAAAAAAAAAAAAGACTTTTTGCACGAATGCCAGTGAATTCATCTCATTTGTTCTGTTTCTTGTTGCTCCAGCCCAGGGAAACTGCAAGAGTTCAACTGTTACATAATATTTCAGTACTAGGGGTCGAACTCTAGGCCTTTGCACTGAGCTACAACCCCAGCCCTTTTTTATTTTTTATTTTGAGACAGAACCTTACTATGTCACTATGTTGCCCAGGCTGGATTTGAACTTGCAGTCTTCCTGCTGCCTCCCTCTCTATGCCCAGCTAAGATAAACAGTTTTTCAAGGCAAGATTGTCATTTTATTCTTGTACCATATATTTTTAAACTTATTTGTCTGATTTTTGAGACAGAATCTTGTTGTATAGTTTGGCCTTGGCTTGAACTCCCTATGTATTCCAGGCTGACCTCAAACTTGAAGTGATCTCCTGCCTCAGCCTCCCTAGTGTTAAGGTTAGAGGTGTGTAACATTATAACTTGCCCTTGTACCATATTCTAAACATTTAGACAAACAGGAAAAACACACACCCAACACTGTTTTCACTTTTTAAATTTTTAAACTAATACTAACTATCATGAAAGTATTTACTTTGTTATCAGAAGTTTAATGAAAATAGCCCTAAGTATCAGGAGAAATCAATATTTACATGGAGGAATAAACTATCCCTTTATAGTTCTTTCCTCCCACCTTTGTATGTCATCTTAGTACTGTTGAATTTAAAAATTATTTTAACGATTTTAAACTTCTTGAAAGGAGGGACCAGGAGTTATTTTGCCATAAGGAGTCTTAGCATGGGCCATATGTAATTCATCTTAATAACTCATGAAGTAATGGTGATTCAGTGGTAAACCTAATAGCAATCTGTACAAACTTGGTTTCTACATGGCCTTAGTTTTTCCTCATCTCAATTTACAGTATGTAAAATAGCTTCTAAGCCATATAGATTGTTTTCACTGGGTGGACCCAATTAATATAAACAGTCAAATTGCTTATAATTTGTGGACTTGAAGCATGAGTATTTATTAAAACAATGTGTATAGTTAACAAAGCATGTTTTCAGTGTCCAGTGTGGAACTGAATGATTAAGATGTCATTAAAAATCATAATGTGCATATCTGATATGTTAGGAACCCTAAAACATTGGATCTGTTCTCAAACTGGAAATGTAACCTTTGTTTTATTTTGTTGCTGTTGGACCTCACTTTATATATGTTGTTTCAGAAATTGTCCATGGAGAGTTTCCAGGCAGCAACTATCTACACAGTTTAAGCTAGAAATACTGCGACCTTCCAATAAGCTTGAGAGGGAGAAGCTGACCCGTGAAGAATTATAATGGCAAATCTGTGTATACACAGACTCCCACTATGTATCTCCATAGGTACATAGATGTGACTACCTATGTTGCTAAGCATTTATTCTTTAATAACATTTTTAGGATGAGACAAGTTGTGTTTTAAATTTAACATAAAGATAATATTTTTGCTAATATGACAGTCACTGTGCTCTTTCATGTGCTTTTGTTTCTATGAATTTTCATAACACTCCTGCAAAGTGGGTGGGTTTATTCCCATTTTACAGATGAGGTTAAATGTTGATCTTGCACATACACGTGTACACTTGTACACACAAGAGTAAACACTGGGTGAAACAGCCAAGCCATTGGCTCCGCTTTTGATTTTCAGCCCAAGCAGATTGATTGTGAAATAAGCTTGGGCTAAAAAGGGCTCAGTGGAGGTGGGAGGAGTCTGTGAGCCCTGGGCAGGGAGTTCCTTGTGCTGCCAGAACTGGTCTGACCACACACCCACTGCCTGCTCCAGTGTGGTGATGGCTCTGGCCTTTTATGCACCAAGCTCTGCTGAGTCCTAACCTGCTTTCCACTACTTCGATTCCAATCTATCTAGGTAAGCCATGTTTGCTACCAACTGCAAGTGCTTTGGCAGCCTTCTAACTGGCCTTCCTGCTTTTGGGCTTTTCCTGCTTGCAGTCTACTTTCCTTAGCGTGATGTTCCTAGAAAGCTCTGCCCACAAAGTGTCAGCAACCTGAAGTTGCCTAGCATCAAAGTCTATAGTTAGTAGTCTGCCATTCACTCTAGGAGAAACCCTGTTCTAGAGTATATATTCAGTTTCCGGGTCAAGTCTATAGTTAGTAGTCTGCCATTCACTCTAGCAGAAACCCTGTTCTAGAGTATATATTCAGTTTCCGGGTCAAGCCTTTCAGACTGTCAGCTCTGCTAGCCCTCACGGTTTTCTGTGCCTGGGATGCAGGAAAGGGAAAAGTGAAGTGGGACCCCTCACACACAGACTTAACTAGGGACCAAACCCAAGGCCTTTGCACTGAACTACATCCTTAGCCCCCCACCCCTTTTTTTGGTGGCAGAGTCTCACTAAGCTACCTAAGCTGGGTTTGAACTGAAATCCTCCTGCTTTAGGCTCCTAGAGTAATGGTATTTACAAGCATGCACCACCACACCAGGTTAGGTTTTTTTTTTAAACAACTAGCAGACGTTGACTACTCATGGCATTTAATAGTCAAATTGTATCTTCATAGGTGCATAGATACAGTATGAGCTACAGTATTTTCCTGTCTCTCAAACTGACACCAACCTCTCTTTTGATACCCTTTTACTAGTTTCTTATGTGTCATTACAAGGTATCTATGCAAATGTAAGTAGATATAATTGTATCTTATTTCCCTCCATTTTTTCAAACAACATATTATTCATCATCTGGTATATAACAGGTTACTTAAATGATCTCTTACCAGTATGTAGGGAAGTTCCTCATTTTTTTTCTTATAGCTTTATGTATTCCATCATGTTCTTATACCAAAATATAATTTGTTTGCCTGTTGATGGACATTTGAGTTGTTTTTAATATTCTATCAAAATGTTCCAATGTGTACCCAGGGATTGTTGAATCCAAGATTATCTATTACTTGAAAATTTGAAATATGCTGATAAAACTATCCTTCCTTTTTTTGATTGATGATTTTTAAATATCAGAAGAACAGCTCAAATCTTACTCTGATTTTCCACAAGTCAGAAGAATCTGTCTTTCTAATCTCCCCTTGTATGTATATTTACTTGTATGTTTATTTCTCAAGTGTATGAAAGGGCTTCAGTCTTTATTTCCTATCAATGTCTTTTGTATAAACATTTGTAGAAGTGAAAATAAAATAAGATACTTGCCTCTTGGCCCTTGTTAGTACTTTGAAACAAAGCTCTTTAAAAGGCAGATGGTCCTGTTCAGATACCACAAACTCAGTTTAGAAATAGCTTCTGAATGCTGAGATACAGATGAGAGGCTGTGGAAGAAGCAGTAAACACGATGTGCTCCGTATGGTGGTCTGTGCGGTGTTCTGAACGTTTCCCAAAAACTCTTCTAATTGGAGTATTGCATATATAAAAGTGCACAGATATTAAAAGTGTACTGTTGGAATGACCACAAACTGTATATCAAATAATTTTAGTTACCAAACTTGGAAAGTCAGAGTGACTTCCCCCTCTGTGAAGGTGCCCCACTGCAGTTACTCTCAGATGTTGTCTGCCCATTCCTAAGCGCAGGTGTGTTCAGGAATCCCAGCCCTCAGTGAAGCTGGCAGCCCAGACATCTGGGGTGAAGATGGGAGTTCTGGGGGACCTTGAGCAAAATGAACAGAGAATTACTGAGTGTCATCGCTATCGCCAGATTATCTCATGCAGTGCATGTTTCCTCTTATTTTTAAAAATTTGAAAGATTTTAACGACCAACAATATGAAAAAATTTTCAAAAAAAATTTGAAAGATTTGTAGTAGAAAAGTTTATTTTTCTGCATTTTAATCTCTTTAGGGACTGTCTGTCATCAAATACTTTTCCCTTTTTTTTTTTTATTTTAAAGGGAGTAGTAAAATGAAAAAACAGTAGGAAATCCACAATCATTATATTGCATGTTGCTATCCTCTAAATAGGTAGTTACATCAGTATATTCAGAATACTGACTCAATCAAACGACATGTCAGGTTGCTCCCCTACTTCAGTCATATCATCTCAGACTGGGTAGAGTCCAGTTGTTTAGGGGTGTGTGGGGGTGGGGGGATGCAGGGTCTTCCTTGCTGGTTCTCTGCGGGCGCACAGGGAGGTGGCACGGCTTTGCTGCCACTCCTCACCCATAGGGCCTCTGCTGGCATATGGGGTTGGGGACTGCATTGCTTCCTTGCTGTTTCTCCCTGTCCGGCAGGCCACTGCCCCTGGTTTTCTTAGTTTTGCTGGATTCCTGAGTTATCCCCCTCCGTGGGCTTCAAGTTCAGATCCTTCCTGTGTCCATGGGACCCACCTCATTCCTCCTTCTCTTCCTCATGTTGCTGTATTCCAGGGTCTGGATACCAAAACATGGAAAGGTTCTTTCTCTGCTGCTCACCACTTTGCCATTTTCTCAGAAATCTTTTCAAATATTTCTGTTGTTGGTTAAAAACAGAAAGCATTAATTTGTATTTCTAAATGTAAAATAAAACCTGATACATTTGTTACTTGAGCAGACTTTCAAAACCATGATTCCAATGACCAAACCCAATTCTAAAAATTTACATCTGATGTTATCACAGAATATATTTTAAAACTAGAGCCATCTGCCATCCAAAGTTTATCTTCATTGCACCTGTGCTAGGAAGCATTGTTTAAAGATTTTGCTGGGGATATAGCTCAGTGGCACAAGTGTCTGCCTGGCAAGCACAAGGTCCTGAGTTTGATTCCCTATACCCCGCTCCCAAATTGCTGTTGATTCATCATATTAGGCTCCCCAGGAATTATATATGTTTTAAAAAATGGTGCATTTGGCTAAAAAGAAAAAAACCCCAAAATCCCACAACCCATCCCAATCTGTACCATGGCAATTAAGAAAATTACGATTTTTTAAAAATATCTTTCTGTGTCCCCTCTTACCTTAAAGAACTGGTTTCTTGTGACTGCAAGACTTCTGCATGTATGATGGGCGTACACACACACATACAGGCTTCCCTTTTCCTGCACAATGAGAGTACTGTATGTACATATCCGTGTCTCCATTTTACTTCACAGATCAAAGGCTTATTTGCATGTCTGCACACCCACAACTCTTTTTTGGGGTACATTCTGTTACAGTACACAAACATTTTATAATGTAACCAGACTCTTACTGGCTAATGATAAGATGTGCAATCTTTCTACAACGGATACCACTACTGCAGACACCCATTTACATCTGTGTTTTTGCATGGCTACTTATGTATCTAAAGGATAAATTCTGAGAATTGAAATTAGGAAGTCAGGAAGCTGTGTGCATTTTATCTGTTATGTCCAATGGCTCCCAAAGGGTATGCAGTTTACATTCCATTAATGTATGTAAGTGCAGTTTCCCAATACCCTTACCAACTCAGTGATCATCAAGTTTTGATCTTTGCCAGTCTTTAGGTAAAAAGTGGTATTTTATTGTGGTCGCCATTGGGCCTCATTATGATGCAGCATGATTTTGTGCAGGCAAGAACACTAATGCAGGACTACAGCCAAATGAGTGGGGAACCCACTTGTTAATCACTATCTACAATCCTTTCTGTGTTTCCTTCCTATTCCTTTTTGGGGCAAAAGTGAGATAGTGTTGTTAAAAATCCTCATTAGGACAGCAGCATTTAAAGATGAGGTTACTAAACTATATGTTTATTTAACAAATCCATTTCTTTGTCTCTGACCTCTCATTCTCTTTTTCTAGTCTGCCATTATATCGTTTAAGTCTCCTTTTCTCAATTTCTTGTACTAGTGCCCCTCACTAGCAGAGTCCTGAGCATTCTTAACTTTCTTTGGATTGTCTCTCCTCCCCAAAAAAGTTTCTTTAAGAGTTATCAGCACCTTTGAGTGGCTGTTCCTGAGAATTCCTTCCCCCAGGTGACAGGATGCCAGCCTTGTACAGACAGAGCGTAACTCAGCTGTAACTCAGTCTCTAGAGCAGTGCCTGACACACTGGACAATCACTTTCCTTTTTAACAACGCATAGAAGTTTTTTCTTATTAGGAAGTACACATGACAGAAGTTACTATTTTAGAGTATTTGTACAGTTCAGTGGCATTCCATCCTTTTATTGCGAATGAATAAATGAGTGGTCACATCGGCTATTTGTCCTTGAAAGTTACCAAGACCAGATGGTCATTTTAATTTTCATTATCCTTCTTTCCTCTCAGACGAAGTCATAAGGAAACGTCTCCTTATTGATGGAGATGGTGCTGGAGATGACCGCAGAATTAATCTGCTAGTGAAAAGTTTCATTAAATGGTGCAACTCTGGATCCCAAGAAGAGGGGTATTTCATTTTACTGTTATTCTTATGCCAATGTCCTGATGTGATTTTGTTAAGGTCCTACTAGTATTTCAAGTTTTCATTCACCTTAAATATCCAATGAAGACACCCCAAAGTGGTCTTTTTTTCTGGCCCTTTCCTTTCTTTAAAGGCCTCCTTTATGTTTATGAAATGTACAAAAGCAGAAGGGTAAGAAAAGAAATGATGAAATTCAAGATTTTTAGTTTGATCACTTTTAGCAGATGGGTATAGAATAACAAAATAGCTAAATGAGATTTTTCTCCTTTGTTAATAAGTTAGTCTAAAACTGCTACACAATAGGTATGAATATGTGTTCTTTTTTGTTGTTGTTATTTTGTTCTTTTGATAAAAGGTCTCCCTGTGTAGTTTAGACTGGTCTTGAACATACTGTGTAGCCCAGGAAGGCCTCAGACTCTCAGCAATCCTCCCGCCTTGGGTTATCACACCCAGATATATGCTTAATAATTTTGTTAACATAGAAAAATTTTCATCTGGATTTGGTTACATAGATACTTGGTAATACTATAAAGAGTGAAAACTTATGTGATCAGAGTTGTGATTAAGCAATCTGCTTAATCAGTATTTTTAAAAGTATTTGAACAATTCAGAAAATTCATTTGAATTAAGATTATATGATGTGAACAGAAGTCCCATCTTGCATCTGCAACTAAACCAGTCTATGAATTCAAGTATACCACATTTTAAAAAAGATAAGGTAAACAAATATTCTAAGTTATTTGAAATAAACAGTGATTCTCTCAGAGCTTGATGTAATTTAGTGAGCAAATCTTTGCCTGGGTTATAGTAGTTCAACTTTAACAATCCAGAGATATCTCTACCTATGCGTCTTTCTTTCCCATCAGATACAGCCAGTACCAACGAATGCTGAGCACTCTGTCCCAATGTGAGTTTTCCATGGGCAAAACTTTGCTGGTGTATGATATGAATCTCAGGGAGATGGAAAACTATGAAAAAATTTACAAAGAAATAGGTGAGAAACTTAAAGTAATTAATATTTCTGTCTCTAATTTTTTTTTTATGGTCTAAAGAAAAAAATGCCAGAAATTTTCCTTAGTGACAAAAGGGTAGCAATTACACTGTTAGTAGAAACAACACAGTAAATACTAGCTATAAAACCTAAACACAGTAAATACTAGCAAGACCTAAATCCCCAGTTTATTCTTATATGATATAGTGCTTCACTTTACAATATCTATTTTGGTAGCATGGAACTTCAATTTAGAAACGTTTTAAAATTGAAAATGGGAATTAGATATGTTATAACAATCTTTTTTTTTTTAAACCTTTCCAAATAGAATGCAACATTGCAGGAGCACATGAAAAGATTGCTGAGTGCAAAAAGCAAATTCTTCAAGCAAAACGTATTAGAAAAAATCGCCAAGGTAAGGGCTTTGAAGGATTTAGTGTGCAAATACTTTATTATTTATTGGCATTTACATGCAGTTTTTGATGTTGTGAGGTAAAATCTGCAGCTAAAATTAAGATTATTTACCAAAAAAAAATTAGAAACTACATTTAATTTTAAGCTACATTATGCTTTAAACTAGAAGAAAGGGAAAGCTATGCTAAAAAATGGTTTTACTGAAGTGTATGCATTATCTAAGTATTTCTTAGTGTTAATATTAATTTTTTCCTGTCTTTAAACTCTCTTGCCTAAATAGCATTATGGCTAATCAACAAAGTCAATTTACAGAAATATATGAGATTTAGGGATTTGTTTATAAACAAACAAATGAAATTACTTTCAAAAATTTAAATCCAGTGGGTTTTTAAGACAGACAAACATTTACAAGCTGCTAAAGTATCTAATAAGAATTAAAGTTTGCTTTTTCTAATCTCCTTTGTTTTAAAATTAGAATAAGAACTTACATAGCTAAAACACTTTCAAAATAATTTTTAATGACAAGAGCAGGACTACTTTTGTATGTGAACTGAAAAATTTAAAAATAAAATATAGTTTCTAATGATAAATATTATAATACATATGGGAAATTAGAAGGAAATACAAAATAATTATTTGGGAACTTTGAATTCTTGTCTCAGTTTTTTCATTTTGTTTTATTTTATGCTAATCATATTATTTGTAATGCAAAAGATACTATTTTTAAAAATCATGCTTACTTAATATACTGAGTTCCAGAACAGTGAATTTCAATTTTTTGTTTTGTTTCTTTTTTTGTAATTTTGAGACAGGGTTTTGTTATGCAGTTCAGGCTAGCCTTGAACTTGCAGTGATCCTTCTGCCTCAGCCTCCTGAGTGCTGGGCTTACAGGCGTACATCACCACTCCTGATTAAATTTCAATTTTTTTTTTATGCATTTCAGGCTAGCCTCAAGCTCATTTTGTAGCCCAGGCTGGTCTCGAACTCGCAAGGATCCTCCTACCTCAGGCTCTCCAGTGCTGCGATTATAGGCACGAACCACCACGTCCCGCTCTAAATTTCAATTTTTAATGAGCTAATTAAGATGAACTTTTATTTCCTCTATTTTGTATATGGATTTAATTTTGGGTGATGGTACTGGATTAAATCCCAGACCTCAGAAATGCTAAGCAAGTGCTCTGCCACTAAGCCACATCTCTAACTTATGTCTCCTTTTAAAAGTTGGCTTTTGCATTCAGCTTAATTATTTATGGTGGGCCAGGAAGGTAGCTCAGGTACAGCTCCTACCTGGCAAAAACAAGATCCTGAGTTTGATTCCTGGTACTCCTCCCCCCAAAATAAAGTATTTGTGGTGAAGTTTCAGTGACCAATTTATAACAAGAGATACCAGCCTACATAATAACTCACTGCAAATTACTTAGAAGTATTTTGCAGCATTTTGTTAGGAGAGTTTAAAGTAAATCCTAGCATTTGTTGTTTCATAAGAAGGTTATCAGGATGAACGTGACTTAATTTTGGAGGATCAGTCCAGTAGAAATAATGACCTTAATTTTAAATCATTTCAAAGTTTCAAAACATTTTACCTTTAGAATTCATGAGAAGTGCTGTTGCCTAAGACCTGGGAATGAAATACAGTGGGATGTATTTCCTCACTGAGTTGTTGTTGGGCAAACAGTGAATAAGATCCTTTCAGAGTCAGTCCACTTGAGCAGGCCTGACTGAAGTGCATCAGGCTTACACTGACCCCTGACATCCTGTCCAGGACTTGTAAATGAACCCCAAAGCAAGACCTAAATCCCCAGACAGAGCACTTTTGATGCACAAGGCATTCAGGTTGTGGTTGAATCAAGGGAAACTGACAATGTTCTCCATACATCATCATTTTTCTTTGTAAACTAGAAAAATGAATATGAGAGACTTGTGGTATTACACATTCTGTCTTGATAATCCAGATTTGAAAAGGAAAAAAAAATTTAAATTGACCTTTTCATTTTTGTCTTTCAGAATATGATGCTTTGGCAAAGGTGATCCAGCATCACCCAGACAGGCATGAGACCTTAAAGTAAGTCAGAGGTTCATGTTGTACAGAACCAGCTGGCTGAGTTACTTTTCATGTTGCTGAGACAAAATACCTGACCCTAAAGTTAGAGGAGGAAGGGGTTTTTTAGTTCATAGACTATAGAGGTTACAGTCTATGGTTAGCCAGCACCAAGGCAGAGTGGAGCTTGGCAGACTCCAAAGGCAGCACCACAGAGGAGAAACAGAGATGGCAGGCAGCAGCAATCTGGAAGCACTAGGCAACCTCCACAGCCCTCTTTCTGTCCCCTCCATCCTATCCAGGCTGTGTGCCCAGGCACTCACACCTAGGGTGGGCCTTCCCAATATCTACCCCCAGAACTACAGCAAACCAAGTGATGGAATGATTTAGTGATCACACCCTGATTCCAGCATCACACACTCATGATCCAGCTGCTTCTGAAAAGCCCTGCCTATGATCACTTGAGGCTTTGGGGGCATCTAGACACAAGCCAAAACACTATCCTTTACACATGGATGCTCAGTTACTAGTCTGTGAACTTGTTGTGCTGTGTATGTGTTTGTTTGTTTGCTGGTTTGAGACAAGGTCTCACTTCGTAGTTTGGGCTGGTTTTGAACTCACTATGCATCCCAGGCTGGCCTCAAACTTGTGGCAATCCTCCTGCCTCAGCCTCCTGTATGCTGGGCTTATAGGCATGGGCCATTACCCCTGACCTGCATTTTATTTTTATAGAAGCATATTAACATATAGTGAGAGTCACAAGGAAGTATCATATTGCAGTATCATGTATTCTAACATCTTGACTAGATCTGTTTTTCTTCCAGTCTTCCTACTTTTATGTCTATAAGACATTCATGTAATGTGCTCAATAGGAAAATGGATAAAGAGTATATTGTATGCATATAATAGAATGTATAATTATAGCAAATAATAATATATTAATTTTTTTATCAGAAGTACTTTTATTATCATGACAATAAATATCCTGACTCTGAATGAAGCATAGAGGTGGTACTAGCTAGTGTCCCTGGGCCCATGTGGGAAGAGGTGGCCTTCCTGGAATCCTGGCTTCGGAGAAGCCAGAGTGGGCTGGCAGGGGACAAGCAGTGCAGGAACTTGGAGTGAGCCAAGCGTCTCCAGGATGGGCTCATGGTGGAGAGAGGGGCAAAGGGTGGCAGAACAGTGAAAAGAAGCAGAGCTAGTGACCAGGTGCTGGGTGACCACTGTCGGGTAGGTGGGAAGGGCTGTGGCTGTGTGTGTCATGAGGGGATGGCGGGGGACCGAGGGGATCTGCAGGAGGATTGTGCTTGGGGTGAGGGGCTCACCAAGGTGGCCCCTGGGAGGGGCAGGAGAGCAGCATCCCTGCTCCCAACTGCAGCAGACACTCAGAGGAGACCCCTGTCCTGGACTGGCCCCGGTCGGGCAGCAGATCAGATTGGCAGCTGACAGTGAGGCTCCTGTGAGGCTGAAGAGCAGGTGTGCGTCTGGCCCCACGTGGGCGCAAAGGTGGACCGCTCTGCTGCTGTTCTCTGCAGCATGCATGCAAGGGCTGAGCTTGGGCTCTGGCTCCGCCCAGGAGAGTGGTGCTTTGGGCTCCCCGTCCTCTGGTTTGGCTCCACCTGTGGCCTTCCTGTGGTTCTCTAGCACCCTGCAGGGTCCCAGATTGACGACAGGTGGGGTCATCTGGAGCAGCTGGCTAGGCACTCAAAGTTGATCGCCTTTGCCTAGGGCAGGCAGTTCAAGGGAGACTCTAGGTCTCAGGGGGCCCCAGGCAGAGGTGGCCTGCAGAGGGCCCAAAAGGGCAGCCCCTGGCCTGCTGGCCCCTAAAGCATAGTTGGTGGGAGCCCTGTGCGGAGGGCACCTGTGACAGCAGCAGCTGCCTGGCAGCATTGAGCTCCCCTAGGGAGCTGCTCAGGGAAGCACCCAAGATTGACTAGAAAGTGGGGTGGAGTGGGGTAACTTCATGGAGACCCAGTCAGGGAGACCCAGTCTGGGACCCAGGGTCTAAGGAGGCAAAGCTAGGTGACACAGCTCAGGTGGCCCTGGGGATGGCTGGATTCGTGGTACACACCAGGCTCCTGGGCTCCACGCACAGGTGAATCTCCTGTGGGTCCGGCACTACACTCTGGGCACACAAGGACACCACCATGTGGGTCTCCCATAGCCACTCCCTTGAGACACAGTAAGCTCCGGCCTCCCTCCTGGGCTGTCCCCTTCTGCTCAGGGACAAAGCACTGGTCAGAAGGGCCTAACCAGGCCCTCATGTTTGGATCTGACCTCAAGGGCAGTGTCAGAAGGTCTGTCTGCCGTGGCCCTTGACAGCGTGCCCACTGCTTTTCCTTATTGCTAAAGGGAGCAGAAAACATGTGGATGCTTGCCTGCCTCCCCCCCGCCCCCCGCTTTGTTTCCCTCTTTCCCTTCCACTTTTTCCTCTCTGCTTCCATTCTTGGAATTGAACGCAGGGCCTCCCCAAGAAGTATAACCCCAGTTGTCTTGTGCTTTGCACTGTGACCATATACGGTCTGGCCTGAGTCACGCAGTTGTCCAGGTGAGCTGCTGCTCTCCATCCTCCTGCCTCAGTCTCTGCAGTAGCTTGGAGGAGAGGCAAGTTTCTTTTACCTGGCTGATGTGGTACTTCTTCAGATTTAGATACACATTTTTAAAACACTGATCAGTTAAAAAAGATACTTCATGAAGTCTAAATTATTTCAAGTTCCCAAAATACATATAGAATAGTAACTGTTTATGATAGTTAGAAACCTCACCCCAAGTATTATATATCCATACTTTGTATTCACCAGCTGTGCAAGTACAGTACATGCATTTTGCAAAGATTAAAATGATACCATTGTTACCTAAGTGAGAGGTAGAGGAGAAAAAAGGCCTGGGATAGAGGACCAAGGGTAAGATTCTTTTTCTTTTATGTTTTGTTTTGTTTTTGTGTGTTTTTGAGACAGGCTTTGCAGGCTGGTTTTGAACTCACTTACTAAGCCCAGACTGGCCTTGAACTCATGTGATCCTCCTGCCTCAGCCTTCCAAATGTTGGGATTATAGGCATGTGTCACTATGCTTAGCTCACAGAATATTTCAAATTAATCAGCAATGTTTATTTCTTTTACTGAAAGAAATATTTGAAATTAATATGACCAAATACATTAGTTCTTGGTTTTAGGTATTCTATTATCTGTGTTTTCCTCTATGTCAAAATTTTTATCTAAAACTGTAGTTTTAATGAAAATAGTCTATATTTAGGAATTAAATTCTCAGCTTTAAGTGTCACTATACTGAAGTGTTATAAATGCTTTTTAATTTTAAAAATACTATTTAGTCATTTAAAAATTTGATACTAAATGTAGATTCTGTTCATCTAGTAGCAAAATATAACACTGGCTTCTTGTTTCCTTTTTAGGGAACTAGAGGCTTTAGGGAAAGAGTTGGAGCATCTTTCACACATTAAAGAAAGCGTGGAAGACAAGGTATTTACCCACATATGTCAGCCTTTCTCGTCTGTGTTGCAGACAATCAGTTAAACTCTGCTTCTTGTTAACACAGCTGGAATTGCGACGGAAACAGTTTCACGTTCTTCTTAGCACCATCCATGAACTCCAGCAGACTCTGGAAAGTAAGTATAGTGGTCCCGGCACTGAGGGACCTTTAGGAAGCCTTGCGGTGATCCGAGGTGCACTTCCAAGCCAGCCAGTTTTGGAGAGGAGGCGGAGCTTGGGCTGCTGAGGAGGGGCGATGGGTGCTGCTGGAAACCGTGCCTCTGCTCAGTTTTCTAATGCACGCCACTGGGTCTGAATGTTCAGTCATATGTGGTCTAATTACACACCTAGTAATGTTAAGGAAAGCTCAGGGATTGTAGAGAGAAGGTTTCCTGTGGTTTCCTACAGAAAAGCCATGACTCAGGGCCCGGGCAGGCAGTGAGGGTAATGGTCATGAGTGCAGGAAGGCCTTTGCGTGCCCGTGAAGGGCAAGTGCTGGAAAGAGCTGAAGACTTGGTCCTGTGTTGAGTGGAGCTAGTGGGAACTTTGTTACTTTTCTTTTCTTTTTTTTTTTTTTTTTTAATGGGTTTTCCGGCAAACACCAGAAAACCTACTAGACAAATTCTAAAGAGCTGTAACACTTTTTACTTTTCATTATTTTCAAGAAACGGCTCATATCTTGGCTTTTTTTTTTTTTTTAGTGAAATCTGTTACGCAAACTTTAGATTTCCCTAATAACATCAAGCAAACCAGTATTTTTTAAATTAAACATTTATGTGGAACAATTATATTTTGTCCATCCTTGCTTTACATGTATTGGCTAATAAAAGAAATGTTTTCATCTGTAGACTAAATATAAAACTTAGACAAAGTTGACTGAAACATTGTGTTTCTTTCCCAATTATAGATGATGAAAAGCTCTCAGAAGTAGAAGAAACTCAAGAAACAAGCATAGAAACGGATCCTAAGCCATAGCAGATCAATTGCTCGTCATTCCCAAGAATGCTGAAAGAGCTCCGTGACTTAGTATGTTAGAATTTGTTATGCTCTTAAAATATTTAAAATTTGGGCAACAAATACTTTGCTTTTAAATATTAATACTCATTCATATTTCTTCACACAACGAAAAATGACTTCAGTGTATTTTTTTATTGAAGCACATTTTTTATTCTTAAAAGACAGGAAACAACACTGAAATAAAATGTGTTTAAAGTTGGATGTTTGTGGTCCTTAGTAACCCAGGTAGTTGTTTAAGTGGTAACATCAATTACTTTATAAAATAAGTTGAAGATTGTGAGAAGGTAGAATTTTTAGGATATACTTGAGAAAATGAGTCCATTCCTGGAAATCATTATCACTTTTGAAAATAAAGTCCATGAATAGGCTCCAAGGGCCACAATCATGTAAAATTATGTGCAAAATGTTGATGGTGGGGAAAGTTTCCATGATACTAAGGATCACTGGTGCAAGAGGTAATTACAAGATGTAAAGTAAATCCATGGACATTGCTTTCTATCTCATTCTCTCTTTGGTACTTAAGGAATGTGCTTGTTAAATGGCTTTTTATGTTTGTTTTTTTTTTTGGTACTGGGGATTGAACTCATTATTTTGCACCTGCGAAGCAGGTGCTTTACCATTGGACTATATCCTCGGCTTTTCTTTGTATTTTTTTTTTTTTTTCCTTTTTATCGGTACCAGGGATCGAACTCACAACTGCCTGCTTTCAAGGCAGGCACTTATGCCGATGAGCTAAACCCCCAGCCCCTCTTTGTATATTTTTAATAGAAAAAAATATACTAATAAAATGAAGAGCTGTTTAGCTGTTTGTTAAGACTGTCTTCTATAAAGGATTTCATGATTTTAATAGTTGTTCCACATAAATTAAAGTGAGATTGAATCCCTTATAATTTTCTTAAATGTTGAATTACATGTATGGTATTTCTTAGGTTCCATTATTATCTGTTTATTTTAGTACAGAGATATGACACTGCATAAATCATACCTTAACCAGGGTACATTTTTGCAGTTTTAAAAAGAATTTTTTTCTTTAAAAATGGAAATTTAAATTTACCTCTGTAGTGGTCATATTAAAGGTGTCAAAATACCTTTAAATGCTTCCTCTAATTTCATCTGCAATTTTTATTTATTTATTTATTTGTCTTTTTGAGACAGGATCTCACTATGTAATTCAGGCTGCCCTTGAGCTCACTTTGTAGCCCAGGCTGGTCTCACGTTTGCAACAGTCCTACCTCAGCTTCTTGGGTGCTGGGATTACAGGCATGTGCTACCATGCCCAACTTAATCTGAAAAATTATTATGGGAGGAATTTTTTTTTGTAGAATTGCTATTCCCTGAGCAATGTTTCTGTTTTCTATTATAAGTAAGGATTATGCAGCCAAAAAACCTGTATTTACACAATTAAAAATCAGTTTTTGAAAAAAGATCTTTTTTTAAGAACTGTTAGAATATTCTTTTGTTTAAAAGCCCCCTATTTATTAATTCACTACAGAGATTTATTCCAGAGTATGTATCAAAAGATAAGAAACCCTACAAAAATAACTTATCCAGAAAAGTCAGAAGCAGCAACAGGTACATGGAAAGCAAGCATTTTTCAGTTTAAACTTCCTCATAGTCCTCTTGGATATCCGCTGGAACTGCTTAGATGACTGGAGAATTTCGTCTCCTAGAAACTCACACTGCTGAAGCTCAGCATGTCTTTGGGCCAACAGTTTCATGGATTTATCGGTCACCGTTTCTATAAGGTCATCCACCTGTGACAAACAGGAAATTATGTGTTGGAAAGACTTATCAAAGCCACAGGGGTAGTTGCTTTTCTTGAGGTGACTTCAGGACACTTTGCAAGTCCTAAAGTGTTATTCTAATTCTAGCCACTGCAAATAGAGCTTGAAAACCTACCTTTACCACCCAGTGATAAAGACTCTCATTCCTTCTCACAGTCTGTGTTACATGCCTTCATTTTAATGGAATTCACTTAATATTTATTAGGTACACAGCATCATTCTAGGTGCCGTTAGCAGTCCTTTGCCACTCTGAGTGCCCCCCACTAACATTCTTTCTTAATGCTAATTGTTAATTATGTCCCATATCCGCCCTGCCTAGCGGGATCTTGTATTCCATTACTGCCTGGCCCTCTGTGGCTTCCCAGACACAAAGTAAAAGCCTTTGTCCATTACCTGCATTTGAAGCTTTCCTACTGTCAAGTCTGATTTTTGGAGGATGTTTTCCATGCCACGTTTCTTTTTTTTAAACCCTGGAAAATATAGTCTTTTTTTGGATGAATATGATACCTATTGTAAAAATGCAGAAACACAGAGATTAGGAACTACTGGTTTATATCAGTGCTGGCATTGATAATAAGAATTCTCGCCCTTTGGCTGTTCTCTTAGAAAGTGAACATTCACCACATAACAAGTCTGAGTCGGAGCCCATATCCATATTATTCTCCACGCCCCATGTATCTCCTTTGTGCCCAGAGCTCTCTTTGAAGGCATCTGTAGGGTGCAGAGAAATGAGACTGTCTGGCTCTGAAAGAACACATGGTGTCAGGAAGAAAGCAGGTCGTTTGTAGGAGGAAGAGGGGGAATTGTCTCTGTAGCTGCTGAGCACAGTGAACGTGTGGGACCTGTGTGGACCAGCGCCCTGGAAAGCTCATTATGGCCGGATCCAGTGGTTAATTTAGTCTCATTTCTGCAGGTTTCTTATTTTCATGGCAGCCATGTATCCAAACATAAAAAGAAAGCACTGGGTTCTTTTTACCTCGTGCCTGAGACTGCTCATCGTCCCTGGCTTACCGGCCACCAATGCCTGTACTGATAGTGCAGCTGTCAGGAGCCAGTCCCAGGTCCCGGCTAATAGGGCATCTTCAGACTCTGAGCTCTCTGTGCCTTTCCCTTATACCTGATCATTAGCATGAGGACTGTTGTGAAACCTACACAAAGTAGGTGTGGGCCACCCCTGGATCCTACCCTCAGCCTGAAGAGGGAGTTCGCAGGCGCCTGCCACACTTCTGCTGCCCCGCCTGCTGCCCCGCCTGCTTGCTGCAGCTCAAAGGCCACTTTGCAGAGCTTCCCTGATCCCTCTAAAGCAAGAGCCTTCCTTTTGTTCTCTCATAAATCCTGGTACATTTGCCTACCAGGTACCCTTCACACTCAGTAGTTCCAAAGCTATTTTTGTGCCAATTGAATACAACTATTACCAAGTCCAGTGCCTGGCCAGGCTGGTTGTGTAAACCAGGAACCTCTGGGGTGGTGTAGTTGGAAAGATCACGCCTCCTGCAGAGCTGTACTTCTCTGCAGGTCCTGTTGGTTGCCCTAGAAACTGTGGGCCTTGTGTTTCCAAATCTCCCTGCTGTTTCAAAAGAAAGTTAGAAAATCTATATTTTAGATTTTAATTAAAAATCTATATTCTATATTTTAGATTTTAATTAAAAAATCTATATTTTAATTAAATCTATATTTAATTAAAAGTATCCTAATTTTAAAATTTGGGTAATAAATTCAGAAGAACAATCTGAGGCCTAAGCAAAACCCTTCCATAGCTAATTGACAATCACCAACTTAATGTTTTTGCAAGAACAGAGATTCTCTTATTTTTGTTTTGGTACCAGGAATCGAACTCAAATGCGTGCTTGCAAGGTAGGCACTTATGCCGCTGAGCTAAATCCCCAGCCCTTTCTTTCTATTTTTGAAACTGAGTCTTCCTATGTAGTTTGGGGTGGCTTCGAACTCACTATGTAACCCTAACCTTCCCAAGGATCTTCTGATCTCAATTCCCGAGTGCTGGGATTACAGGCATGTGCTGCCATGACTAGAAGGACAGAAATTCTTAATATAATCATAGCCAGATATATCAATCTTTATGTCCAATGCAGTTTAAGTGCTAAGAGGTGTTTCTCAGAGCTGGGCATGGTAGCATACACCTGTCATCCTAGCACTCAGGAGGCTGAGGCAGGAAGATTGTAGTTAGTTCAAGGTTAGCGTGGGCTACATAGTGAATTCAAGACCAGCTTGAACTACATATTAGCTAGACCTTGTCTCAAAAATAAGATAAAAAACAAAAAAAGCAAACAAAAAACAAGTCTTTGACCTGAAATCATGACAGTTGTCTTATAGTCCTCCAGAAGTTTTGAGATTTTGCTTTTCCCACTTAAATCTACAACACAAGGAAATTAATTTTTGTATGTGATGGGTGATAGGTATCAAGTTTCATTGTTTCCCCTGGTGGTGTCTACTTGTCTCAGTGTTATTTATTCAGAAGATTATCCTTAGATCAGTGCTTTGCAACACTGCAGTTTAATGACCCTCCCCTGTTAGTGACTTACACAAAAGAAGGGTCATGACCATTAGATTACAGTTGTAGCCTCCAAACCTAGAAATTGCATGGAACATGTTGGCACAATAAATAGGAATGCAGCCACAGGACAAGTTCAGAACTAATACTGGTGTACCCTGTGAGGTTCCAGGGACTGTTTGATAGAACTATCAGATGGAAATGTTCTCTGTGTTTTTCAATACAAAAGTGCCCACTTGAAATGTAGCTAGGAAAACTGGTGAGCTCAAACTTCAATTTCATTTCATTTTAATTCATGTAAATAGTCACCTGTAGCTCTCGACTGTCATATCGATCAGATTAATTGAGCAGTACAATGTATATATGGCATAGTAATTAAGAATGAGGGGCTGGGGGCCTAGCTCATTTTTAGAACACATGATTAGCATGTGTGAGACTCTGGGCTCAATCCCCCAAACCACCCAAAAGATGTAAAACTACAAAGAAAGAAAAACATTAAGATTCTAGAGCCAGGACTTCGTATGTCAGAAGCCTGGCTTCTGCCACTGATCTGATCATACTACCTAGCTGCAGAATGTCTTCCCTAAAATAAGGAGAGCCTGCTGCTTAGATGTAGCTGTTGTAAGAATGTCTGAGTTGATACACTTAAAGTGCTTAAAAACAGAACCGGAAACAAGGTATCAGCTTTAAACAAGTGTTTACATAAAACAGTTCAGGGTCCTACTTGTAAAAAAAAAAAAAAAAAAGTTTGGCATGGTGATGCAAGCCCGGAGTATTAGCTACTTGGGAGGCTGGGGTGGGATGATCTCCTGAGCCCATGAATTGAAGATCAATTAAGTAACATAGTAAAGTCACATCTCAAAAAAAAAAAGAAATCCTTCTTTTTAAGACATTTTCTAAGAAAAATTAGTCTGGGCAACTTAAGCTCATATGTACTTTCAGAAAAGTAAATCTTTGGTTAGAGTCCTAGATCATGCAGTATGATGTTGTGTGTGCTATAAATGTGGCCATTTCAGTTAATTCCATTTGTATTAGTACATGTTTACAGTACATAATGGTTACATAATAGTGGGGAATTAGTATGTGTGTGTAACACATCTTAATTCTTATTTCCCGTTTCCCTTCTTTCCTCCACTCTTCCCTCCATCTCTTGATCCCCTGCCCTTTTGCAAAAGATCTGTCTCCCTTTTTTCTATTATCTGTCTTTTGTTTTGCTCTTTACATTATTTTGACTTTGGGCTTCTCATATAAGAGAAACCATGCAATATTTAAATTTGTGTGTCTGATTTATTTCACTTAACATTATGGTCTCAAAGTGCATTTTTTTCTTGGTGCATTCTTTTTCCTATACATGACTCAAATTTACCCTTTATCAGTTTATCTTTAAATAAAATTAGGAATTCAGCTCCTCCATTGCACTGGCCACACCTCAAAATCTCAAAAGCCACAACTGATGGCTACTTTACGAGATGACAGACACTTGTGCCTTTGCAGGGAATTCTACTGGACTGCCCTGGTCTGTGAATTCCTTTGCATACTACATGCACCAACAGTCCAGACTGCTAATGTTCTAACTTGACATTTGAACAGTTGAGCAAGTCGGTGTAAAGCTCCAGACTTAACTGTTGTCCAGATTGTAGTAGGAGCTGAACAGTCTGAGCTCAGAAATTGAGAATTTGACCTGAAAAGCCCTCTCTGCACTATTTGTGAAGAAGAGACACAAGCCCTAGATTTAAAGCATTTATTGTAAGGAGTTTAGGTAGGAAAAAACTTGTTTTTTTTTTTTACAAAATCCATAGACATTGACTTATGTACAGGTCTGTAGAGGTAAATTTGTTTCAGCATTTTACCTTTTGTGGTCCTGAAGGCAGAGATGTCACAGATAACCGCTTTGTGGTTCTCCTGGCTCTGAGGAATGTATTTCCTCGAGTTATCTCCTCTGTCTCTGCTTCTACATCAAGTTGTATAGTTGCTTAGAGAAATGAAAAAAGAAAAGAGCCTGTGGAAGTCACAATTATAAACAAATTCCTCCTATTTCAAAGTATTCTGGAGCATCATATGCTGCTCAGTAGCTTTTATCTTTGGGGTTAAAAATAAACCCCCAAAATAAACTGCTGTAATCCTAGCAGTCTGGGAGGCTGAAGCAAGAGGATCATAAGTTCAAGGCTAGCCTGGGCAACCAAGCAATTAAACCCTGTCTCAAAATAAAATATCTTAAAAAGGGGTTGGGGATGTAGCTCAGTGTTAAGGCTGAACGCAGTCCCCAATACTGGCAAACAAACATATAAATGGATTTGCTAACTAGGCTTGGGGGTGCACACCTGTAGTTCCAGCACTTGGGAGGCTGAGGCAGGAGGATCAGTCTAGGATATTTAGTTTTGCACTGAGTTTCTTCCCTGTTAACCATGTGGAATTAGAAAAAGGAACCCTTCTAAGTGCAAGGCCATCCTTTGGTACGCATATTGATTGAAGCACAGCTTCCATTTGTTCTCCAAAAATGTGGTCAAAGCTCAGGCATTCATATATCATTTGAATGGTTTTTCCTATATCCAGAAGCCATGCGAATGAATCCTGGACTTCTTAATATTTTTGTGTATATCAACTCAATTCTCAACTCAATAAATGCATGCATATGCAACTTGCAAACATTACAATAAATTGAAAACCAGTAACAAATAGGCATTAAAGTTTAGCGATAAAACCAAAGTCATATTTTCTGCAGATGGTATTGAACTTGCAGCTACTATTCTTTTAATTAAAAAACACCAGGGGCGGGGGCCTGAAATGAGACTTTCCCTATTTAACACTTAGCTATTCTTCAGGGGCCTCAACTCAGGAAGTCTAACCAGAAGTCATGGTTTCATTCTTCCTCTTCCTCTTCCTCCTCCTCCTCCTCTCCTTCTTCTCCTCCTTCTCCTCTCCTCTTCCTCTTCTCCTCCTCTTCTCCTCTTTCTCTTCATCTTTGTTTTTTTTTTCCCTTCATCTTTAATAGTACTTGATCTTATCATGTTAGGCAAGCGTTTTACGACAGAAATACATGCTCTGCCTCTTTTTTTTCCCATTTTATTTGGGGCACATTCTCACTAAGTTGCCCAGGACTGCTTTGAACTTGTGATCCTCCTGCTTCGGCCTCCTTGTGTACCTGCAAACCTGGCCAAACTTATGATGTTTCCCCAGTCCAAATCCATTGTTCATAATCTCAGTGACTGCTGCCTGCCCCTCTGCAGCCTGGCCACTCCTCTCCCCTGCCTTCCACTATACTACCCAACTACCCAGCTCTTACAGCTTCTATCCTCAACTGCTGTCCCTGTATCTTTTCATCCCAAATGCCATGAGATTGCAAGCGAATGCCATGAATGCCAGAGCCTATTTACCATGCTTCCTACATTGGCAGTTCCTACCCTCGTCCCTTATATTCTCTATTCTGCCACCACAGCTATCTTTACAAATGCAGATCATTGTATAGATACCCACCTTGAACATTTGCAGTAGTTGTTTTGGTTTGGTTTGGTTTTTTTGTGAAGGTCTATGTTCACAGCTGACTTTGAATGCACAGGGGTCCTCCTGCCTCAGCTTCCTGAGTGCTAGAATTATAGCCATGAACCACCACTATCCTTAGGAGGAAGTTAAAAGTTCTTATTTAACATCCCCACCACCCCTTTATCACTTCAGTCAATCAGCCTCTCTCAGGCCCTCTTCTTGCCTGAATTTCATTGATTCCTTATGCCTAGGACTCTCTTGCTATGGAGACTTTCATTGTCTAACTCTTTACTCATCCTTCGGATCTCAATTTAGTTGTCCTTTCTTCAGGGAGGCTTTTCCTGCATCCTCCTAAAATTAGATCCTGGTGAGCTTCAATAGCACTCTGGCCTCCTCCTTTTGCATCAGTATATTGATCTGCATGCTGCCTGAAGTCCCTTTATGCTGTAACTCAGTCTGCTCTATTTGTGCTTGACCCCGAATTCTGTGATGGGCTTGTGATAAGCATTTAGCAAACATTTATTAAATAGATCAAGAGTGCTCTGGAGTTCAGATGAAGACATCCTATTGTGGGTCACAGCAAAGACAAGATAAAGTTAGAAGAGCTGCATCCTAAAGAAAGACATGGTTCTGGAGAAATCTTAGTTGACAGAGTTGTCATTCTAAGATGAAAAAATAACGCAGGGGTTTGAAGGATAAATGAAGTTCTCTGTTTCCTGCGGGGCCCCCAACTGAGGCCCAGCAGTATGGAAGGATGTCCTCTTTGTCATTTTCAGCAGAAATTTGCAGGTCAGTCAGTACCAGGTAATCACTACCTACTTGAGTGCTTGCATTAGTGACTTATTTCCAGAGAAAGGGTTTGTAAGGCAATCAGCCAGCTGGAAACCACTAGGGTTTCTCTATTTTGGTTCCCTCAGCCTTGGAGAAAGCAGTCACCAGGTTTCCAGCCTCATCACTGTGAGAAGCTGCAGGGCTGTGTATGGTTCCTGACACTGGGCTGAAAGCGCATTTGAAAAACCACAGATTAAGGTATCTTGGGCAGTGCAAATATGCTGGAGATGAATGTTAACATGGTTACAGGATGAAAGTGGCATCATGTACTCCCAAACCCTTGGAAATGTGTGATGTAAAGAATGGATAGTAACATGAGCAATGAATGCTGATTCATCACCACACTGGCCCGACAGTTACAGGGAACACCCACCTCAAGGCAAGATACTGACAGTGGAAAACTACCCATTGAGGAGGAGAAGATGTGTTAGGAACTCTGTGTTTTCTGCTCAATTTTTCTGTAAATCTAAACCTGCTTTAAAACATAGTGTATTTAAAAAGTGACAGAAGAGAATGTAAACTTTGAGAGTATTATTAGTCATAACTACAAGAATCCCCCAAAATAGCATTAATTATCTTGCAAAAAAGACTTAAAGTTAGCAATTCGGGTTATTGTGTCTCTTCACAATAGCTCTATGCTAAGGGTGTAATTTTTATTATTATTTATTTATTTATTTTTGGACAAGGTCTCACTATGTAGCCCAGGCTGGCCTTGAGCTTGTAGTGATCCTTCTGCCTCAGCCTTCTGAGTAGTGGGACAATAAGCATGTGTCACCACACCTGGCTTGTAGGATGTATTTAAAATTTTTTTTCCTATTTTTACTTGGTCCAAACTTGCTCTGCATAACCTATTTTTTCCTACCTTCAATAAATGTGAAATTTTGCCACCATTAAGAAAGAAAGATAGAAAGAGAAAGAAAGGAAGAAAGTTGACAGTGCAAATATTACATTTGCCTGTAATCCCAGCATTTGGAAGGCTGAGTCACAACTTTTACACCAGCGTGGGCGACATAGTGAGACCCTATCTTAAAACAAAAAACAAAAACAAAACAGATATAAGAAAATGTAAGACCCTCTATGACTCACCAATCATAACTTTCATTCATTTAATTCTCCCAACACACCTACTCTAATTAGAAGCAGCCATTTGAAAGGCTACATTACCACTTTCTCCCGAAACAAAATGCCACTTCACTTTGATTTTTTAATATATGTCTATGTTTGTGTGTGTGTACACATACATCCTCAGACAGACAGACATTAAATAAAAAGTGACTTTGGACTGATTAGACCACAGACGAATCAGACCTGGAGGAATGGGGAAGACGTCCAATCTAATGCTTCTCCAAATGCAGGGGCGGGACTCAGCTGGAGGTCTGGCCCACGCATAGGTTTGGAGCCTGAGATTCTACATCCTGTGAGCTCCTCATTGTAATGAGATACGGCAGTATTGACTTAAAAAAGAACAGGTATGTCGCGGCTCTCAGTCTGAGTGGTTCCTGTCTAAGAGCGGGCAGACCACCGCTTTAGTGCCTCTGGTGGACTGCTGGATGGCAATGGTGGGCATCACAGCGGGGCAGAGTCATTCGCCTCATGACCAGGAAGCAAAAGAGGAGGAGGAAGGGGCCAAGGTCCTGAGATCTCTCTGACGACAGGCCCCAGTGGCCTGCAGACTCCTACTAGGCCCTACCTGCTAGGGATTTCACCAATCCCACCAGCACCACCCTGGGAACCACACTGTGGACATACTGGGGAGAGAGGAGCACATTCAACTCCCACATTATAGCAGGTAGCAAAAGGTCTCCTCCTGTCGCTGTTTCTTTTGGCCTTGGCAGTTAACGGGAAGTTGCCTTGCTTACCGCTGTGGGACAGCCTTCTCGGCCTTGGTTTGGTGAATAACCTGGGAGAGGGAAGCTCCTTGATGATTCTAGGAAAGAGGCGCAGAGTGTTCGAGAGTGGGGCTTTCTTAGGGCTCGTGGAGTCTTCTCTACCAGTGCCCGCTGGCTTGCTTCTACACGTGTACGGCAGGAATCTTCCAAAAGCAGTCCGCATTTTTTTCATTACATTTTTTTTCTCATTTCGCTGATTTTCATGAAATCCTATGTCACTTTCACTGGATGATTCCTCTTTCGGGATCAATACATTTTGTTTTACCAAATCAGTAGATACAGCTCTGTGCCACCTAGACAAACACAGATTGTATCAAGGACATCAAACAGTTAAAGATAAGTTTTTAAAATCCAAATTCAAATGTGAACAAATAACATCATTCCACAAAGAGGAATGGAAGATCACAGATCAAGCCACAGGATGAGGGAGAGGGAGGTGCAAAACAAATTGTTCTTTGTGTTTCATCAATTAAATTGTACTCAGCATGGGCGGGGGGGGGGGGTGTCACTGTTTCATTGCATGAGAAAGAGATGTTGGTCTTAGGGACTACACTAAGACAGAGGTTAAATTCATTGACCAAGGCCAGAATGCTGATCGCATTCCAGAACTGTGACTGACAGATACACAGCCTCCCATTGACAAACTTAAGTGCTATTTCGGATGTGTTTGACATACATTTCGTTGGGTGTGGCAGTTCTGAGGGTTGGCAGCCTGCCAGTGTTATCGCTGAAGAGTAAGCGCTAAGCCTGTGTCCATGGGCATTTGCCTGCAATGCACATTTAGATAAAATACTCTAAACTTGTGTTTTCAACATTTCAAATAGTCACATACCTCATTTGTAATTTTCATATATTTTAGTGATAAAAGGACATCCCCAGTAGCTTTCTATGCACTAAATAGTCTTGCAAGTGGTTTCCTACCATGTTATGTAATTCAGGACTTATACCACCATCTTGGTTTTGCACAACAAGAAATTAAAGTTTGAGAAGATAATAATTTGTGCCCAAGTGATCTGATCCCAAGATCTATGCTGTTAACACCTCTGCAAGAGTGCATATTACCTCTCATTATGCACCTAATATTTTCTTCCTGTTTTTTTTGGTCAAATATCCAGATTGATAATATACATGAAATTCATTTTTTAACAATTAGGGTTATTATTTTGAGGTGATTATAGATTCATATGTAGTTGTAAGAAATAATTATGGCAATTTTATGTACTCTTCACTTCAGTTATCATCTTGCAAAACCATGACATATCATCACTACTGGGAAACTGACATCAGCACAGTGAAGATTTCCATGCCACTAGATGGCTGCTGTCTGACAGCCACACCCACCCATCCTGGCAAACTCTAGGACACAATTGCGTGAGATTTTAGCCCTCAAAGAATGTCCTCAGAATGAAATCCCACAGCTGGAGACCTATGGCAGGGATGGCCCAAGTTCCACACATGCTAGGGAAGGATTCTTCCACTGAGTGACTCTCTCAGCTTTAGAAAGTGCTTTTTCACTTAAGATAATTCTCTGGACTTTTATTCAGGTTGTGTCAATAGCTTGCTTATTTTCATCTCAAGTAATGTTCCATGATACTAATAAACTACATTTTGTTTACCCATTCACCCATGCAAAGCCATTTTAGTTGTTCCCAGTTAAAGGTTGTTAAGAATAAATCTATAGCCTGTAATCCCAGTATTTGGGAGGCTGAGGTAGGAGGATTGATGTGAGCTGGAGGCCAGCATGGGCTACAAAGTGAGTTCAAGGTCAACCTGAACTGTATAGTAAGACTCTTTTTTTAAAAAAAAGTGATAAGCATTTACATCAAGCTCTTGGGTGAATGTGTATCTTTGTTTTGTATTTTATTTTATTTTTTATTTTAAAGAGAATAAAAGAACAAAGCAGATCAGAATAGAACAATATCTTCATTTGTCAGGGCAAAATCTCAGCTCTGATATGCTATACTCTTATGTAATATACTTTATTTAGAACATATAAAGTCTATGGTTCTAATATGAGTTAAAATAAATGAAAAACCATTAAAATGCTCTTTGTGCCCTAGCTAAAGCAAACATCCCAACTCCCACCAGGAGCCTGCGTACAATCCCCAGCGGCAACTGCTCCAGCTTTGCCTGCAGGAACAGTGTAGGGAAGGCAGGTAAGGGGTGTCGTGGTCTCCCCACTGCGTAGCCCTCACCTCTAAATGCTTTGGGTTTTGTCCCTTGAAGATGGGCACACTATCCTGAGAAATGTGAGAAGAGGCAATAATTGGAGTCGTTGGCACCTTATCAAGCTTCAGTCAGTGATTTGTAGTGCAGGGCTCGGGTGAGCACCCTGGAGTGAGGAAACAGCAGGGGAGTCCTCTGACACTCTGCAGCCTGGGGACCTGATTGATGTTTGCGCTGCCCTTCAAGCTGTGTCCAGTTCCCGTGAGAGTCATCTTGAAGATGTCAGTACCAAGACAGGAGCACCATCTTCTAATTTGCTCAGAGATAATGTATGTGCTAGGACTAGTCTCTCCTGGACCCCTTTAAGGGGTCTGGTCATTCCAACTGTGCAATATTTATGCTACCATATGTATGTACATATACGCTCACTCTCTCACTCAAAACAACAAAATTGCAATTTTAGGAGCTCCAGGAATGCTGAGGACCATCCACACTGCCTGGCAGATAAACCACCCAGCTCTCTGCAGTCTCTGGTCACTACTCTTTGTCTCCCACCCATCCTCCTCAGCTTCATCCCTCTTGATCTATTTACAGCATTATTAACAGTGAGGCTTTACGCAGGGGCCAGGAACAGAACCACAACTTCTGTTGTGGAAAGGATCATTACCTCCTAAAATTTTAAAATATTTTTGTTGGTAATGAATGGATTTATTACTTTCTTCTTAAACCACTATTTTCTATTGAAACCGGACACCTCAGCAATATTTCTTTCTGCCGTGGATATTCAGGCCTCATGAAAACATCTCACTTCTCCATCTCTGAGCTGTAGCTCATGGACCTGCTAAAGGGAAGCCAAAACAAACTGGAAAATAATTCACCATGCTGATTCTCAAAATTAAAGCAATTTATATTTGTAGTATTTTATGTTTTTATGGTTTTGTCATTGCCAAGAAGCATCAGGTCTAAGACTGTTCTGATATTTCGTGAGGGAGTATATCCTGGTCAGTTGTGACAGAAAAAGGCCAAGAAGCACCAGGGAAAAAGGCTTTACCTCTACAGTCTGGATTCCAGTCCCTTGACGGGGACCTCATTTTAGGGTCCCTTCCCCATTTTCCTGGGTAAGTGCTCCTTAGTGCAGGACAAGAATGATAACTTGAAAGCAGAAAAATCTAGGTATTTAGTAAAGTTCTTTTTCTTTTGAAAATGAACCCTTTCAATTACAATTTGGTACAATTACAATTTCTAATTGTACCAAGCAATGTGGAAAGGAAAATGGGAGGCACAGAACTATTAGAATTGTGTTAGAATTAGGCCCCAACCCCTTCAGAGAGCATCTAAATTCACATTGTTTTCCAGATAGAAGTATACCTTTTGCATCATGGACAAATGCAGCACATCATATGATCAATTACATAAGCTTTCACATTAAAATATTTTATTGTTTAAAGAAAAAAGTGTGCGCTATTGAAACAGGCTTGATATATATTTCAGCAGCACAAGGTGCTAGGACTGGGAACAGAAACATTGATTGCAGACTTATTGTAAAGAGTGCACTAATACATTTTCTTGGCATTTGCATGGGAATGAGAAGACTGAAATTTTGTTGCTAAAAGTATCGATTTATATACTCTTATATAGGTATTATCAGTACTTATGTCTGTTAGTCTTGTATGACACATTAAAACTCAAATTCACTTCCAAAGTAAAGGTTGCTGTTAAAAATGAAGACTTTTTGGCTGGGGATTTAGCTCAGCGGCATAAGCCCCTACCTTGCAAGCAGGCAGTTGTGAGTTTGATCCCCAGTACCAATTAAAAAAAAAAAAAAAATGAAGACTTTTCGATCACAAAATGTGACTTCCATGGGGATCTTACTTCTCAATACAGTATATTTCCTCCTCCTCCTCCCCAATCCACAATCTTTATTTTCAAATGAATTGTTTAGAAAGAGACATTACCTTCTCAAATTTTGTTTAATGAAAAGTCCAAAAAATTTCATTCAACAGAAAAATAAGTGAGTCCCCAGTACTAACCTTTCAATTCCCTTTCTTTTGAATGGGCCAATTTTCCTCATGGGTTGCTGGAATCTTCGATACTGGCCAGCTGTTCCATAGGTAGGCTTTGGGGGTACTTCTAGATGGAGTTGAGGGTGGTCCATTGTGGCTTTTTTGGCCAGTGGTAGCTGTTTTGGATTTCTTTAACTCTCCAGCTCAGAATTTTCAAAAGAGAATCATCCAGTGACTGAGAACATTGTCGAGTGGTAGGATGTTTAGGGTAAAGCATGCAGGAAAAGTTTTGAATCTCCTCCTTATTTCTTTACTGATGTGAGGTACATTATTTATGGGACTGGCCCTGTTTGAACTTGAAAAGATCACCAGTGATGCACTTGACAGAACAGTGGGAAATTCCATGGCACACTGTGGAATATTTCGTAGATTCGATCTGATCACGTAACCACTGCCATTTGGAGCGATAGTAAAAAGTATTACACGCCAACTGACAATCACACTCAGATACACATGTTCGAATTCCAAAGGAGGAAAGAGCCTATAAGCAAAACCAACGATCTGTTGCTCAACAAAGCTTGAGCTTCTTTGGATCTGTCATTTGGGGCTGGTAATGCTCTGTGACCTGAAGGACACCCACGGGAAGAGGCTAGTTGTCGCCATGCACTCCAAGGGCTATTCCATTGCCTCTTGGAATTTTACAGTGGTCTCTTAAAGCTCCACCTTGAAAAGGTGGAAAATCTGGCCCATTTTTCTGCATTCATTACATGACATTGAAGAAGAGCAAGTTCTGCCTTGGTGTGAGTTTCACCTCAAGGTGGCAGCAAACACTTAAGATTTATTTCCATTGCTTGCTTGCTCTGTGTCTCAGCGCAATTGGGTGCTTTTGGAGATAAATTCATTCTGCTTTCTGTGTTTGTATTCATCAGTGATCAGGATTGGACTTCCCAAACTTTAATGTGCACAGGAATTACCTGGGATTCCTGTTAAAATTAGATGCCCTTATGGAACTCTTAGGATGGGATCTAAGAATTTACATGTCTAACAAACTCCAGGTGATGGTGATGAAGCATGATTGGCGTACTACACCATGAGTAGTGTGTGTGTGGGGTCTTATACGCCCCAATACCTAGGGAAGGAGTTTTAAAAATCAAGGGGTTGGAGTGTAGCACAACATTAAACTCGTACTTAGCCTGCATGAGATATTGAGTTCAATCCCCACTACAAAAACAAAGCATAAAGTTTTGCAACATTGACGAATTAAAAGGGCAAGTTTGAGAATATACATAGGTTCACATTCCAGTCCAGGAAATGTGGCTTTAGTCCACTCACTTAATCTACATGGAAATGCTTCATCTTTAAAGTGGAAATACTAAGGGTTCCAAGCCACAGCTTTATAGTGAGACTCAAGTAAGACAGAAATTCTGCTTCAACAAGGAATGAGATCCAGGATTAAGGCAGTATCCCAGGAAAATAGATGCAGGTGAGTGCCCGCATTTTGAAAGACACTGCAAATTGCATACCTGATCTGCTTTGGTCAGATGGGCTTCCATTATGACATGATCTGTTTTTCCTCATTTGTTGGAACTCCCAGGTATTTGAATGAATGAAAAAATCAATAAGCATATGAATGAGCATTTTCTTTAACAACAGGCCCATTTTTTTTTCACACAATATTGTCTTAATCCTGCTGTACTCAGCCAAGTATCTGGCTGATTGTGATTACTTTTATGCTAGGATGAAAATTTTGTTTTTCTTCATGCCTATGTGTGTCTATATTGCATACCTCTCTAGGAACATACATTCTTGTACATTTACCATCTGTAATAGGCTGAATGTTGATTGTTGTGGCTTCCCTGGTAACCTATATAGATCACAAATGACCCTGAAGTCTGTGATACAACTAGAAGGAGGAGGTGGGTATAGGAATTAGGGCTCAGAACAAACTGGGTCTGAATTTAAGTAGCAGCTTATGCACTGTGTGGTGGTTTATGTCGGTGGCTCCCAGGCCTCATGCGGTTGCATTATGCATTTGTGATTGGTTCATTGTCTAGAGCTTGGATTGATGGTGTCAGTGCTACACTCACATAGGGGTGGAGCCAGCATACAATGTAATGGCAGGAAGAAGGCATGTCTTGCTCTGTCTTGCGGGTTTCTGCCTTACTGTTTGCAGCTGGCAAAAACTGCGATCCCGCCATGCCACCCTGCTTGGAGCCAACTGACTATGGACTGAAACCTCCAAAAAGTCTAAGAAATAAACCTTTCCTTTCCCAACTTTGGGCATCAGGTATTTTGTCTCTCGACCAAGTAAAAAGTAACTAAGACACATTGTTTTCTTTGGGCAGGTGACAAAGCCTTCCTGGACCTCATTTTCGGATTCCTAACATAGGAATGGTAACTGCTGCCTCCTAGGATCATTTTATTCTTCCTGTATTCAATAAATATTTGAATGCCTCATGGTTGCCAGGCACTTCTTAGACAACAAGGCCACTCAATGGACAACACACACATTCTCTGACCATGTCTAACTTAACACACAGTGAGAGAGGCTGGTAACAAGCAAGCAAATGAGAAAATAATTCTATCTAGTGGCAAATGCTCTGCAGAAAATAAAAAGAGGGTGATAGAATGAAGTGATATGAGTGAGAGGTACTGTAAGAGGGAGCCATCTGGAGAGCCTGCCTGCCCAGGTCACTGGGCCCAGAGCCCAGCATGGCAATAGTTAATGGTGTGGTGATCTGTGTATTCTGGGAAGATGAACTAGTAAGCATTAAGGCCCTGAAGTGGAAGAGGTCTTTGAAAATGTGTCAGAGACCTGAGGTGCCAGGGGCAAAGAGATGTAGATTGTAAGCTGGAGAGATAGGCAGGGCCAAGCCTGCTGAGTCCTGCCAGTCAAATTAAAGCTTTTGGTCTTGATTTTCAGAGCAATGAGCAGTTGCTGTGGGTTTCTAAAGAGCCAGTACATGCTTGTGTATTCTGGGCAATGGAATTCAGCAGTGAGGAAAGCAACTAGAATCCTTGCCCGTGAGGGACATTTCCAGTAGAGGATCCAGACACTATGTTTACAGTAGGTCAGTTATTTTCAGCACTGATGTTGTGAAAAAATTAAGAAACTGATAAAAAGCAATCAGGAGTGTCCCAAGTGTCCAAGAAGACTCTGTTCAGATGACTCTCAAAGTGGGACACTTAATATGGAAAAGAAAATCAACTATGCTAAGCTCTTGGAGGGGTAAAGAATTGTTTCAAAGACAAAAACCATAAGGGCAAAACTTGAGAGGTGGCTGTTGGCATGTTGGAAGGGAGAAGAAGACCAATGTGGTAGGAACACAGGCAATAAGGGAAAAGATTATGCTTTAGTTTTCAAATAATTGCTTGGAAAGTACATCGATGAGGAAAAAGAGTGGTAGGAAGATAGTGACTTTGAAGAGCAGTGAGCTGAAATTAAGCAGACAGAGGACATTTAGGAAGTGTAACACTGAAGTGAACTTGCTGTGGGGGTGAGCAGAGAGGGAGATGCTAGGCTGGGCAGTTAGATATTACAGTACTCCACAGAGGAGGCCACCGTGGCCTAACTAAAGAGCACTCAGCAGGGCTTAAAGTAAGACCACTAGTCCAAAGTGTCTACAAGTCTGGCTTCACAGGACATGGCTGGGAGCTGTTGCCAGCCACCACTCCCTGGACAGTTTAAATGACCTCTGTAAAGCCAAAAATCTATTAGAGTAGAACAAAGTATGATTTAAACAAGGTTTTCCTTGTTCTCAACATTATCCTTTTATTGAGCACATCAGAGATTGCATAATCCTATTTTGGTAACCATAACAACAGTTGACTCCTAGGGAGAGAGCAATTGATTGAAACCTCTAAATTATAGATTGCAAACAAGAATCTCCCCTATCCCTACAAGGAAGGGAAATGTGAGACACATCGGGGTATAATAGGGAAGGGTAGGAACTCTGACAAACTGTAGAACACAGGGCCAATCAAACATTATTTTACTTCAATTTTTAAAGATGCCCCTTGTGCATATAAAAATATGCTTTGTAGACCACAGTTAGCTTGTAGGTTGTCAGTCTGCTGCCTCCAGAGGTACTTTTGTGTTAACGCTCCAGGCAACCACATCTTTCCCATCAAGGCTCCTAAAGCTGCCCTCCCCACCCAAGTTTTAACTTCTACTGATTTGCTAACATTCAGCTGGTTTTGGTGACTACAAGGTTGTATTTCAAACTCATCATTAATCTGTTGCACACTACTCTCTCTTAGCAACCTGCCAGCCCTCTGCTAGGGTGCTATAATGAGAGTCTGGGTCTTGACTCCAAACCTTAGTATGATAAACTTGTAGAGCAGGGCAGGACACTGACCTTATGTGAACTGCAGCACTCACTAAACTGAGCACTCTTGAAAATGATTTTCCCAAGCTGACCAGGTCCTGAAGGCACAAGAGTTCAGGAGAATTTTGCATCTGGGAGTATAAACTCGGGCCTTTGTCCATAGCTCTAGCCAATCTCTTTGCTGGGACTTTGACCCTTTAGAGGAAAGATATCATTTTACAGATTTCTCAGCGGGAAGTGGGCCAAGAGGGTGGGTGTACATTGTGCCTAGCGACAGGGTGTTTCTCCTGAGAGTAGCCTCACCAAGACTGTGAACTCCGGAGAAGTTGGTGGGGACAGACACTGGATGAAAGCATCTCTGCAGAAGCGGCGGCTCTGAAGCCCATCATGCTGTGGATCCTTTTGTGTTTTGGATTGGTGGTTGCCCCAGGTGAGTATTTCTAACATGTCACGCAGTTTTGAAATGATGATTTAGTGTTCTATCAGTTTGTCTATTCTTCTTAATTTTTTGTCTTTGAAATGGCTAAGGACAGTTCTCTATGGCAGTATCTCATTTCTATCAAAATGTTTTCTAAGTTACAGATGACATAAATGGAGTCGGGCAAGCTTTTTGGAGGGCAAATGACCACTTCTACCAGTCTCTGCCACCTGCAGACACAGGGCCAGCATCCCGCTTCTGGAAGGCCCTCCTACAGAAATGCATAGTGATATAACATATACCCGGGTATATTTGTAATAGCGAAAGCTAGAGGCAATGTATAAAGTATGATCAAAATACAATGAATGCTTAAATTTAAGATTTTTATTACAGCAAAAGACATTTGCTGTGGATCCCTCATGGCATTCCCTTGCACTTTGACCACACTTACCCCATTGTTTTTGCTATTTTCTAAAGCAGTTTTGGAAGTTGTCTTTTATAAGCATCTTTATGGGGTATGATAAAATTTTTGATGAGTGCTGCTGAGGAGCGCCAGCCAATAGAAAGACAGACCTATAAAAACATTATGGATCTGACACCGTGAAAATTCTGGCTCTTCTCCAAAGAGTAATATTTTAAATTGATCAAGGCATCAATGCAGGCGTGATAGCACAACCAAAAACATTCGTGAAAGGACTTTCAGAAAATGGCAAGAATGATGGAATAGGTGTATTTGAAGCTAGAGGGATTATTCAAGGGCTATTAAAAGCAATATAACTTTTACTGTAATAAATTAAAAGAATTAAACAATCACCATGTTTTGACCACATGGCATATATGTCCATCAATAGAAGATTAAATAAGTGCTATTATACCTGTGCTATGAATCTCTGAGCCACTGGAAGGAGGCAGGCCTGGTTTAGCTCAAGAGGCTCTTGTCTAAGGACAGCTGACTTCTAACTTCACATAGAAAGAGCTGCTTACCCAAGTGGTCATGTGGTGGGTAATAAATGGAACTAGGACCTGAGCCAGGTCTTCTTGATTCCAAATTCTGTTCCTCATGTGGATCCCCTCCTCCATCCACAAAGCTTCTGCTATCAGTAGGAAAGGGGTCTTTAAAGTTTTGGCATTCTGGGAATTTTTGCTTTTTCTACTTTCCATTCCAAAGAGATTTGCTATGAACCACAGCACCATCAGAATCATCTGAGAACATGTGGTTTGGATCCAGCAAGCTTTGGTTTCAGAGCCTGGCCCTGCCACCAATCAGCTGTGTACCATAAGTCCACTGCATTTCTGTGCTTTGGTTTTTCTCAGGTATACAATGGAAGTGACAGTAGCACCCCCATCCTATAGATAATGTGAGGATTAAATGAAAATGTCCCTATGAAAGAATGTCCTATAATAAGTGGCCATCAGTATTTATTATTCATTCAACAAGTATGTAGTAAGTACTTTTACTCAGGTATTAAAATAAGCACTTTCCTAGAAGTTAGAGTATTTGGTTCCTTGGGAGTGGAATATATGAAAAGGGGACACCACCTGTTGTGTCAAATGTCATGGTATGGGAACATGGAAATCCTGGGAGGTAGAATCCAAGCCAATCCAAGTAGCACTGGGAAGATTTTCTGAAAGAAGTGATGCCCAAGGAGCATTTTAAGGATGGGTAGAGTTTGGGAAAGTGGAAAGTGCTTTATAAATAGTGTTTTGCTGACCAGAGAAAGGCAAAGGAGGATAATTAGAACAAAGTCTGGGAAAAGGGGTGTGTGGAGAGTAGGGGCTGAAGAAATGAAGGTGATCATGTCTGGCAGGATGAGGGACTTTTCCACTGTTAATCTGAATTATCTGAGAGCATTTGATTTCCCTGGTGAACTTCTCTTACTGGGTTGTGGTGATATTATGTGGTTCTTTATGTTCTACATTGCAAAATATGATTCTATCATGTTTCCTTAGTTTGTATTCTCCCAAAGGCAACCCCAAGAGTAAGTAATTTATGTGGGACATGATTCCAAGAAACAGCAGTAGGGGATTAAGGAAGCAAGAAAGTGAACCATGTTAACAGTTCACCAGGAATCCAACGTAGAAGCTTATCTCTGAGTGACCCCAACGAATGGTGAAAAAGTTGAGAGATTTAACCAACACTGTCTGAGGCCACTGGGATGCTCCAGGGTCATCCCACTCCTTGACACTGGGGCTTATCCTTGTGCAGGCCAGACTGCTCTCTAGGAGGAGCAGCAGATGCCTAGGAGACACTCTGAGGTGTGTGGAAGAGACGGTGGATCTGCCACACATGTCCAAGAAAATTTGAAATAGAACAAAAACAAACAAAATTGAAACCGTGAAATGAAAAGAAAGAAAAAGCAAAGCAGAGTGGCCCTGGTGCTATGAATGGGTACTGGTCCCTTGCTCTCAATGCAGAGTGAGCTGCAGGACTGGCTGCCTTTGTTCCTGGCCATCTGGGCCTTGCAGTTGCCCTGGTGGGACTTGGAAACCCCGGAGAAAGGATGTCAGTGTGAATCTCATATTGGTATGAGATTGGTATGGCCCCATCAGTAAGCAAGTCCTTTGTCCTTCACCCACAGGACATGTGTTTTCTGTCAGTGTCCATGAAATATGGCAGTCTGACTTGTTAGCTTGCAAGTAGAATAAGTCCTCAAACCTTTGCTGGTCCTAATGAGCCACTTCAACTGATTTTTAAGACTTCTAGCGCAAATGAACAAAATGTTTATTGTGTTTTTCTTTTGTAATACCACATGTGAGAGGGAAGCTTTTTGTAGAATTTTGTAAAAAAAATCAAAATTCTGTTTCATCTAAGATGTTCTAGCTTTTCTCCACTTTGCCATCGAGAATGCCAGCCCTGTTCTGGAAAATGCCTCTGAACACACCTGGGTAGCCACAATCAACGTGTCACTCTCACCTCACACTTCTCTGGTCGGAGATCCTGTTATTGTTAATGCGAATCCCGTGATCCATCCATTTGTGCTGTCGCGTAGATCTACGTATCTGTGGGACGTAAGTATGCATGCAAACAGCATCACCATTTGGTCCCCTGGGAGCTTGGAAATGAAACTCTTATCTTTCCCTTATCTCCTGCTGGATGTCATTCCCTTAGCAGTCATTCATTGGGGTCCTATAATGTGCCAAGTAGTCTTAAAAACCTTGGCACCACCAGAATCCGTTTATTTCACAGATATATTTTGAGAATCTAGTTAGGTATAGCATAGTGCCTTATCCTCATGGCATTTTCTGTCTATACCGATACATATTAATCAAGTAAACCCATTCACAAATATAAGACTCTGTGATGAGAGCCATGAAACACAGCCTGTACACATATGACAGCCCCTAAAAAGGACCTAGTTAGAGTTCTCTAAGGAACAACTGTGTGAAACACAATGTGCATAGCTAGTATGCATATTAAGTAGAGGAAGGAAAGAACAGTCCAGGTAAAAGGAACAGCCATGCAAAAGACCTGGGCTGGGGATATAGCTCAGTGACATAGCGCCTACCTGGCAAGCATGAGGTTCTGAGTTCGATTTTATGTAACAAAAAAGAAAGGAAGAAGGTTAGAAAGAGCATGCAGAAAAAGAAGGATGGAATGATTCAACAAGTCACTGAAAAATTTTGCAGAAAAGGGGAACAGTTTGCATATATTTTCAAATGACCATTTGAGCTCTTTTGAGAACAGACTACAGAAGTGAGGGGAGGTCTTTTATGAGGCTCTTGAATATCCTTCCCAAACCTGGGGTCATCATACTTTCACATTTGCTTCCATATTCCCTTCCCTGCAGTGGACCCCAATCACCTGCAAGATAGTACATGCACAGTGACAAAAAAGAGTAAGAGACAAAAAAGAGTAAGAGACAAATGGTGACGTGATGGGGACCTGGGATGGCTAGCTGTCCATGGGGCAGCCAGAACCTTGGTATTTATGGAGCACATTCACACTGAGGAAAATGATGAGGGGATCGAGGCTGGGTGTGCTAGATTAATGTCTAGGCAGGCAAGACTTGTAAAAGAGGGGAACGAAAAATTATTGCCAAAGGAGCAGAACAGCCAGATTCAGGTTGTGGTTAATGTAATGGATGACCTGCTTTGTAGTCAGTTCTGGGAAGGAAATTTCTCTGGAGTCACACAGGCCTCAGCAGAAACCTTATGACACAGACCAGCCCTCAGCCTCACAGCCCACTTCTCTGGCCTCAACAGTGGCCACCGGCAGGGAGCAGTGCTAGCGCAGCATGCCACCCACTTGCTTCCATGAAGACACATACACAGCCTCAGCCAGACTCACTGTTCAAACCGAAAGCCAGTTTAGGGAAGTCACCTGTGTCCAGCCTGTACCACTTGGAAGCAAGCACAGTCACACTTGATCTGGGGGAGGGCAGTGTGGTGGTGCACCACACTTCCTAATTCATTGTGGTGTCAACCGCTATCTCACACTTATTTTTCACTAGATTTTTGTTAAGAGTCTAAGCAGTAGCAAAAGGCTGCAGTGTGTTCGATAGTTTTATTCATTATTTTTATTACTACATGTTAGAGCTCTTCCAAGGATAGATTTTACAGTCTGGCAAGCTTTGTTTTCAACTGTAACAACATGACCTTAGATAAATTACTTGACTTTTTATTTTTTTTCTTTTTCATTTTTATCGGTACCGGGGATTGAACTCACGACCGCCTGCTTGCAAGGCAGGTGCTTATACTGCTGAGCTAAATCCCCAGCCCCAATTACTTGATTTTTTGTGCACTGATTTTCTTTTCTGTATAATGAGATTAGCAACAATAATGCTCAGGGACTGATAAAAAGATCCTGGGAAATAAGGTATTTAAAGTGACAGCTTGCTGCTTAGTCCATACCAACCACTTGACACACAGAAGTTACTATAATAACTATAATCCAGTTATTCAGCATTATCGCAGACAGATTAGGGATCACTAAAAAAAAGGAGATGTAGCCATGTTACTAAAACTACATCAAAGGCTAGAGGTAGATAACATTAACAACTGTTGAACTATAAAACATTTTCACAGCATGGAAATGTACTTATAGATAGAGGCTAAATCAAATGAGTTAATATCTGTTTCTATGCTGTTCTACTTGGAGTTTAGCATATCACTGTCCTTTGTTGAATTTGTTTGCTTGCCACATATATGCTTGTTTGCCTTGCAAGATATTGGTTGAACTTGGGGTTGCTGGACAGGCAAACGAAATCTAAGTCCACACCAAACAAATACCAAATTGGTCTCCCAGAGAAACAGTAGCAAACAGTGACCAAACAGGAAGTGAACTGACTACACAGGCAAATCCATGGAGGTGACACATGCTATGCTTCAGCTATGTGATCCTCAAACTGCTACCTGTCAGGGAGCAACATGAAAGGGTCTGTATGGGCAGGATGGGAATGGACCCAAGCCACTGTTGTTGGGCACAAGTCCTGCTCCCTGGATGGGGTGATGGGTATCAGCCAGAAGGGACTTGAATCATCTCCCTGTCTTCTTCCAATGTACGTGTAAAGAATAAGAAATGTCATTGATTTGATAGTCATTGAAAGCTGATATGAAGTCTGATACTTAATAAAGTGTTAGGAAGCAAGAAAGAGATAGTTGCTGACCCTCTGGTACTCCCAGGACGGAGGAGTCCACATGAAAAGGAAGCCTGCTTAGGGCGGTTCCTAGGGGATAAGGGAGTTCCTCATTGACAGTAGAAACATGTTTTTCTTGAGGCTGGAAAATGCATGCATTTTAAAAATCAGATTATGCTGTTAAATGAACTTATCAGAGATCATCAGGGTGTAGAGAAAAGATAAAAAGCATTAGGGTAAGGAAGATTTGAGTTTACATCTCAGCTCTTACTTGCAAGTTGTATTTTGGGTGAGATCTCTTACCTCTGAGTTTGTTTCTCAAGCAGCAGCGTGGGGCTGGTAACAGCATTTGGTCTGTAGGATAGAGCTGAGGTGTGTCCAGGCTATGCTAAGGAGAGAGCAGGCATCCAGTGTCACTATGCTGCTGAGTTTCTGTGTAACTGTGACAGTGTGGTTTATGTGGCTCTCAGCAATATTACTGGCCAGTGCAAGGGCTGGGGAATGGACAGGAAAGGTCAGGCCCGGGTTCTGCCTCCACCTGCAGCAGGAATTTCCTTCTTGTTTTAAATATGCTAAGTTTCAATTTCCTCATCTGTGGAGTGGGGATGAATACTTCTCTCCTGAGATTGTTTTGATGATTTTTTTTTTTTATCGGTACCAGGGATCGAACTCATGACTGCCTGCTTGCAAGGCAGGTACTTATGCCGCTGAGCTAAATCCCCAGCCCCAATTGTTTTGATGATTAAATGAAGAATTGAGAGCCGTGCGTGTGACTCGGGATGATCAAGCAGCATTAGCTCTTGTTACAGAAGGACTGCAGGGTGATATGATGATTCTTTGTTCTGAGAGTCAGTGTTCTAAAGACAGCTGTGAGGGTGATACGGTCAGTGGTTAAGATCATGGGCTTTGGTGTCTGGATTTGTACCCTGGCTGTTTCTTGCTACGTGATCTTTCTGGGCTTCTATATTTTTGCTTATAAAATAGGTGTATTAAGATTATTGATTGCACTATTTTATGGCTAAATGATGTAACTAACATAAATGCTTAGGGTTAACATACATTAAATGTTCGATAAATTTAAGCTATCAGCGTTGCTTAACCATCATCATAAACAGGGGGTTCATGATTTGACATAGGATTCAAAAGACAAGTAATTAACTCCTTCCAGCAAGCGTTGTTGTTCAGCAAAATCTTTGCTCTCTATCATTGCACAAGTAAGAAATATTTAGAAACAAACATTCCCTAGCCCACATATACCACGCAAGACATAGAAAAGACATTAGTGATAAACTCTCAAGGCTTTTGTGTAAGGATGAAGAAAACCAGATCAGAGCCACAGCCAGAGTCTTAGAGAGATTTCACACTAAAGGTGGAGTGTGAGTTCAGATCTCCTGATATTCAGCCTCATGGAGGCTCGGGCCGACAGAAATTCAAAAGCCAGTGTGAAAATAAAAAAGGAAAATGACAGAACATGTGAGTGACTGAATGGTGAAAAACAAGAGGGACTCTTACCCTGTCTTTTCAGCCATTCTAGGTGCTAGGCATCTTAAACTCGTGTGTAACACCATGAGAATTGTCACTGAGACAAAATACCTGGCACTCATAACTTAAAGGAGGAGAGGTTTATTTTGGATTGTGATTTCAGTGGATTCAGTCCAAGGTCAGCTGGGTCCAAGTGGAGATGGCATAGAAGAAAGGCTTGGGAGAGGACAGTTGCTGACGTCATGGCAGCTGGGAAGCAGAAAGAGAAGAGGAGATAGAACAAGAGCCCTCCTTTCTAGATTACATGACCAGTGACCTGCCTTTAGTGAGGCCTCGTCTCCTAAAAGCAAGTCAGCTACAAAACTACCAGTGAACTAATCAACCAATGAGCACAGAACCCCCAGGATCCAATAGACTTTAAAACAAGGGAAACTTTCGTGGCACATTCAGATGAAGTCAGTGGAGCCCAGATCCACTGAAGTTCTGTCTGAGGAAGCTTAGTCAAGCTGCTAAACACCTATAAGTTTCAATTTCTACACCTTCAAATGCACCCAATCATGGTACTGCACCAAGTGTTTAAGTGCCAGATATTCAGGAGGTTGAGGAGGGTAGCTTGACTGGACTTGGGAATTCAATACCAATGTACTAAGACTCTGTTCCAAAAAAACAAAGCAAAAATGCCAATGGATGTTGGAGAGTATAGATCTAAAGTATCTCATATATCCTTAGGAAACCAGTCATTAGCTTCATTATCCTCTTTCTTTTAAAAATTTAGTTATTCACCGTTGGAGTACCCAAGCTGGACTTTGAGATTGTGGCACTATACTCCCTGGTAATCTATGCCAAAGACGACCATGGAGCCACAGCATCACACACTATTTCAATTCAGATCGAAGATGTGAATGAACCCCCCACCTTCACTGGATCCCTTGCCCAGGGAGACCAAGGTACCAGCAGTCTTCTCTTGAAGGAAGAAGCCTGCAGGGGGCATAGTTGTAGGCATGGAGCCCTATGTCCCAAGTGCTTTTGTGGCTGCATGCAGAATACTAATAGAAACAGCAATAATAAGCACGCGGCACTGGGCCCTATCTAGCCATTAACCCACTTGTCCTAAGAGCTTGAAGTAGATTCCTTTATTTAATATTCACAGCACTGAAAGTAGGCTTGACTTTATTCTCATTTTATAGATAGCAGACTCAGAAAAGTGAAGTGACTTGCTCAGTGTTGAAATTATCCATGTATCTGTTTGATTACAGAGTATAAAAGTTACCCTCTTATTTGTGTGATTACTTATAGTGTTTCTCGGCCATTAAACTAGAAACTTTGTGAAACCAGGGATGATCTTTATATTGCCCTCTCTCTCTGTTTTTTATTATATATGTATTGCTTTCTCTTCCTGTTTACTTCTTTTTATCTCTGTCTCTATGTAATATTTCATGCATGGTGATCCGTGTAGTGTGTTAGAAACACAAACAGGTGAGGTTCTGGTGCTGAGGTTGACCACTGTACGGGCAAGTTATTCACCCTGTGTGAGTCTCAGATTCTTTGCTGATAAACTGAGGTGTTAGTTCTATTTTCATTACCCGACATAATGTTTCAAAATGTCAAGTATATTGACAGGCATACAGTAGGTTCTCAGGAAGTGCCAGCTCTCTCTTTTCCCTTCACCAAGCAGGTTTCAAGCCCTTGGGAAGACCCAAGTTCAGATCATTCTCCTCTGAGTTCTGAAATAGTATATTTAGTGCTGGACGCTTGTGGATGTCCATGCCAGGGTAGTGGCTACAGTCCATGCGGGCCCTGAGAACCTCCTGCAGTCCAGAAACACTGTTCCTTTGACAAGATGGTGCATGCAGGCATGAGCTTCCCCTGGAGGAGCTCATGCATCTCAATCCTGTCCCCATATCCCTGAACCCTTGCAGAGCGACTTGACTGGCAACTTTGCAAGCTTGAAATTCCTACTGTCTTCAAAACATAGGAGAATTGTAGATATGGCTCAGTGGTAGAGAATGTACTTAGTGTGTGAAGCTCTGAGTTGAAACACCTGTACCCCACCCCTCCAAATGTGTGGGAATGGGGCAAACGTAAGGAGAAGACAAATAGTAATGTAAACTCTAAAATATTAACATATTAGCTGTACCACCTCAGGACTGTTATTCATTCTTTGTGAATCTCAACAAGACAGGAATGATAAATCACCAATTATGTTACGCCCTTAGGAATTAAGCACTAGACCTGTTCAATATGTTTATTCCTTTTTTTTTTAAAATTGAGAAATAATTTATCTTCCCCTCTTTTTATTAGTGTATGTTTATGATATATAATAAATATTTCCTAGGGCCTGGGATTTAGCTCAGCAACATAAATGCCTGCCTGGCAAGTGTGAGGCCCTGAGTTCGACCCCCGGTACTTGGTACCCCCCCAAAAATAAATAAGTATTTTCCTTGTGGAGAGTGGGTACCAAAACATGTTGCTCCTTTTTTTTTTTTTTTTTTTTTCTTTTTTATTGGTACCGGGAATTAAACTCACGACTGCCTGCTTGCAAGGCAGGTGCTTATGCCGCTGAGCTAAATCCCCAGCCCCTAACATGTTGCTTCTTGATCCTTTTTACTTCTCTTTCCCTTCTCCTCTCTCCCATTTCACCCATCTCCATGTGGACTGTCTCCCTGTTCCTCTCCTTTATCTCTTATTTTGCTCTTTGGGTTTCTCATAAAGAAGAAGCCATGTAAATATAGTTATTGCTTGTAAATCTCTTTTTGCTATGACTGACGTGTAACAGACAGTAAATGGTGTCTGTTATTATTGGCATAATGGGACTTACTCTGTAAAACCACCAGCACTCAGCAAGTACAACGCTTTAAATTGTATCTAAAATACAAGATTAGATGAGGGTTTTGGGGTATAATAGTGGCAAACCCAACTGCATCTCTTCTATGTTTTCTGGCAGTTACAGAGATTTACATCCTGGAGGACACTGCTCTGGACACAGTCATTTACAGAGCAGTGGCCATGGACCCAGAGAATGCTGCTTTGGAGGTAATTTATGGTTTGGATCAGAGAATATCAATGCCTGGTAATTTTATGTGTGATTGCAATCAAATCTAAAGCCATACAGACATTCGAATCCCTCACACCACCATTCAGGTTCCAAACATATCTTGTGCTGCAATTATCAGGACTTTTCAGGTGAAAATAATTGAGATCTGGATTGTTGGGGTAATTGCTTTCTTTTTGGTACATTCCATTTTGTGCAGGCAGGCCCAGCCTAATCCTGAGGTAACTTGTAACAAAAGATGCCAAGCCATTTCATTTCATTCGTTGGGATCTGGCTGCAAATACTGTAGAGAAACAAGCCAGCTTTCAGGCAGAATTAATGTGTGTTTCAAACTCCAGATCTTATCGCTAGGTTTTGTAATGCCCCAGAGGGGAAGAAGCTATTGGAGCTGGGGCCAAGAGACTTGGGCTTCAGCTTTCACTTTCCTATAAATCACTCAACGTTTCTGCTTTGCTGTTACAACTGCAAAATTGAGGGGAACGCTATCCCCTTTGTCTTCTGTTGTATGGCTTTCTCTCATTATAATCAAACATCGTAATGAGTACAAATACAGTTTTTAAAATGTAAACCATCTTGCAAATGGCAGTTTGTATTACTCCCAATTTTTGATGCCATATGGAATGGCTATGTCATTCTTAAACTAGAGTAACATGTTTTTCATTTTTAATATTGTACTACTTTCTCAAACTGGATAAAATGAGAGAGCTGTTCATGTTGGTGCTGTATACACAACATTTACAAGTGAGTGGAAATGTTTCTGGATCATTGCTCAAGGCAATATGCGTCTTATGCAATTTTCTTTAAGCAGTAGATGGCCACTAATATTGGAGGCATTGTCTGCATGATTTTCAAAATTATTGAATGCACTAGAATAATTACACAATGGAACACTATGGTTGTCAAGCTCCCCTACACATTTGTCTCCTCCTCCTCCTTCTCCTCTCAGTGGCACAAAGCCACATCCAAGATGGGACTGGGAAAGGTCACAGCTTCCTTTACAACATGCAATTAAACCATGTAATCATGCATATTGCTCCAAATCAACATGTTCTAGATTATAGTACTAAAAACAGTGCTGAACAACTGTAGCCACATAAGAACCAAATATCATACTGCAATTGCTTCCTTGGTGTTGGCTGTGGCAGCTCACCCACAATGTTGACATTTTAGCGTGGCAAATACATGACATTCCAACAGGGTTTAGCTGTGGCTTTAACATACACTCAGAATGACATAGTAGCCAATTAGAGTAAGTAATTTATTTCAAATGATAGACCTGCAGATGCTTGTACACGTAGATTAAAGCTTATGGGACTAGCTCTGTACTTTTCTCAGAAGAGAATTTATTGGTTATAATGTGGGGAACAAATTGACACTGTTTTGGAGCCCCATATATGATGATGATAACAATATCAACGTACCATTCACAAAATGCATTTTATAAAATCATGTTCCACCAGGTAGTTGATGAGAAAAGTGAAAGATCATATGATCTAATGAATTTTGGAAAACATGTCAACATATCTCTTCTGAATTTAAAGTACTTGGCATAGCAAACACTGTCTAGAATTGTCTAAAAGACACTTTTTGTTGAATCGTTTGTTCTAATTATATCTGCATACCAATTAAAAATATCATCCATTAAAGCTTCATGTAATATTTTACTGGCATTCCACAAAGTAGAAAGCTCTATTTCTTTTTTCTTTTTTAAATTTTATTTTGAAAGTATACAACAGAACAAGACAAAATAAAGCCAATTAAGATCATACAGTGAAATTGGTACAGAACTTCACAGCAGGTTACTGGGATAACAGTAATAGGTATCACAGTATATTTTGTTATCTTTATAATAGTTGTTCTTTCAATCATGTATATCAAATTGAGATGAAATATAGAACACTATAGAACTTATCAAAACAGAATATTGAATAGAGCAGTACCATTAATCAGAAAAGAGCAAAACAGTAATAAAAATATTTGCCTTCAAAGAGATGGTAGAAGGAATTCCCCCTTATTCGCTATGGTGAACCTCCCAGGAGATGCTCAGATTTCTGGTTCCCATTTGCCAATGGGGGGAGAGGAGAAGAGGGGTAGGGGAAGTGGGATATTTGACTCTAGGCTGTGCATCAGTAGGTTCACTATTGCTTAGCAGGGAGGCAGGCTGGTTGTTTGGTTTCACAGGGTCCTAAGTTCCAACATGGTGTGGATCTCAGGAGCTGCTGCTGGTTCTCCCCCTGGAAGGGCCGCTGTCTGCCACACTGCCACCGATTACCAGGGTAGAAAGCTCTATTTCAAAAGTGATAAAATGCAGCCTTCCTCTGAAGGTGTTATGATGAAAGAAGAAATTCCAGGTGTGGACATTTCCTACAGAATAAATGTTACTGCAGTGAAGTTGAAGTTGGATTTTTATCTATATTTAGGTGCACCAGATACCAGGGCCTGGGCCATTCATGCTTTAGAACCACTGCTATGGTACATGTTAAGGATGCCTGACACTGTGATCCAGAGCCTCTCATCTTTAAAACAAAGGAAAATGAACAAAAGGAAAATCAACAGGTTTTCTTGGATTCATCAGGGCAACCTGCCACCCCAAGATCTGGAGAGACAAGTGAATTCAGTGTCATGGCTACTTTCTGCCTATCTGGGTAGTGGCTGTTGGAGCACTGTGCTGGCAGGAGGTTTTACAAGCCTGGAGGCTGAGTGTGGGCTAGAGTGACAGCAAGAAGCTCCTGGGTATACCAGTGTCAGGCAGGGGGCACATTTGCATGAATTTATCACTAGGAATTCAAACAGGTCTTTGCAGCAAAGATCTAGGAGTGAGCATTTAGCGTGTCTGGCAGAGGGAGGAGGAGAGAATCAAGTGATATATATTCAGAGCCTTCTGCATAACAAAATTCTATTCATGAGGTGAGAGAAGGGAGATTTTGATTGAATCTCATTTCATCTGGGACATACACATACACATATGTGTGCACATATGTATTTATTTTTTCAGGACTGGAGATTTGAACTCAAGAGTATACTGCTACTAAACTATATCCCCAGCCCCTATTTATTTATTTATTTATTTAGGTACTGGGGATTGAACTCACAACTGTGCACTTGCAAGGCAGATGCTTATGCCACTGAGCTAAATCTGCATCCCTGCATATATGTATTTATATATGCACATACATACCCACACATGCATGCACACAGCACGTGTCTCTAAATTTATTTAAACTCCAGAAAGCCCAACACAAAGTAAAAATTTTAAAAGCAACTAGAGAAAATCTATCATATCTACAAAAAGTAGTTATAAAAACTACAGCTTCTCATTAGAAATCATACAAGCAAAGAAAGTAGAATGGGCCAGGTGTGGTGGGAATGTGTATAATTCTGGCCCTTGAGAGGCTAAGGCAGGAAGATTACCTTGAATCTGAGCCAGCTTGGACTACATAGTGAGTTCAAAGCCAGCCTGAACTGAATCGAGCAAGATCTGGTCACAAACCCAAAAACAAACAAACAAATAACCAAAACCAAAACTAAAACCAAACCAAATCACCCCTCATATTTCACTAAGAAGAAATTCACAGATTAAGAAAGAATGGAAAACAATATTCCATGCAACAGGAACCCAGAAAGAGCACTAATACTTAATTCTAATTTCAAACAAAGTGGATTGCAATCCAAAACTGATCAGAAGAGACAAAGAAGTTCACTACATATTGGTTAAGGGAACAATTTAATAGGAAACAGGAAGAGATAACACTTTTAAGCATAGTCACAGCAAATACTGGCAAGCCCAACTTTAAGAAACAAATACTACTGAACATGGAAGACTGGACAAACATTAATGCAATTATGATGGGAGAACCTCAGTATTCTACTGTCACACACAGGTAGAATCAACTAGACAAAAAAAAAAAAAATGAACAGGAAAATCAGAGTTAAACAAAAATTTTTAGAGTGGTTTGTCCAGTAACAACAGAATGCACATTCTTCTCAATGGCACATGACACTTTCTTGAAATAGTCCACATGCTAGCTCATAAAGCATGCTTAAGTAAATTGAAAAGAATCAGTATTACCCCATGCATACTATCAGATCATAGTGCAATGAAACTAGAAATCAATGGCAAAACAAACAACAGAAATTATGCAATGCTTGGAAATCAAGCAATACCTTCTTGAATAATCAATCAATAACAGCAGAAATCAAGGAGAAAATTGGGCAGTTCTTAGAATCAAACAATAAACTAATATAACACACGAGAACCAGGGGACTCACTATAAGCAGTCCTATCAGGGACATTTGTAGAGGTGAAATCCCACATGAGAGAAACAGATTGAGCCCAAATAAATCACCTAGTGGTGCACTTTAAGGTCCTAGAAAAACAACAATAATCCAAATCCAAATCCAAAGCTAGGACAGTATGAACATTTTGAATTACACAGTTTCTCAGGTATGAATAGACCTCACATCGTGAATAGACCTGCCATTCTGAACTTTTGTAGGTGCAACCAAATCATGGAAGTAGCTCATGTCTGTCTCACAATTTTTTTTTTACCTCAACTTGTGAGAATGGACTGTCTCACAATTTTAAGGTAACTATAAAAGGAAAATAGTTTACAATTGTATTAACATTACCAAAACAGTGCTAAAAACAGTTTATCTATACTACTTGTGTATGTGTGTTTTTGATTTTTTTATGCTGTACAATGTATATTTGTGTCAAAGGTGTATAAGACTCATTTTGTCAAGCTGGGTATAGTGGTGCACTCCTGTAATTCCAGTACTTGGGAGGCTGAGGCAGGAGAATCATTGTAAGTTCAAGACCAGACTGGGCTACAAAGGCCAGTCTGAATTGCATAGTGAGACCCTGTGTCAAAAAACAAAACAAAATAAAAGACTCATTTTGTCAAATTTATGAACAAATCTGAGTTATAAATGTTTTCCTAGAATGGAAAACTGTAAACTGGGGACTCATTTGTAAACTGGGGACTTACTGTAGAAAAAAAGAAATTGTAAAACTATAAGAAGAAATTAATGAAATTGGGAATAAAACAACAATGTGAAGAATCAATGAATTAAAGAGTTGGTTCTTTGAAAGAATAAATGAAATTTGCAGGGTGGGTATATAGGCTCATGCTTATAATCCTAGCATTTGGGAAGCTAAGGCAAGAGGATTGCTGTGAGTTCAAGGCTAACCTGGGCTACAAAATAAGTCAAGTCCAGCCTGCTCTGCATAGTGAAACCTTGTCTCCACAATAAATAGATAAATAAAATTTGTAAACCCCTAGTCAATCTTAGTAAAAAAAAAAAAAAAAAAAAAAGAAAAGAAAAGACCCAAATCTATGCAATTAGAAATGAAAGAGGTGAAATCACAGTGGATTCTGTCAAAATCCAGATCATTGGTAACTACTTTGAGAACAGTCATGTACTCTAATAAAATGGAAAATTCAGAAGAAATGGGTAGATTCCTAGATATATATAAGCTACCAAAGCTGAATCAAACAGATAAAAAAAATTCTAAATAACCCAATATTAGGCAATGAATTGAAGAAGTAATAATAATAAAAACAACCATTTAAAAAAACCCAGTTCTTTACAAATTCACTGCTGAATTCTACAAAGAACTTTAGGAAAATCTAACGCCAATAATCCTCAAATTCTTTAATGAAATTAAAAAGGAAGCAGTACTCCCAAAGCCACTTATGGAAGCAATCATTATCTTGATTCCTAAACCAGAAAAGGACTCAACCAAGAAGGAGATTCACAGACCAATTTCTTCAATGAATATAGATGCAGAAATCCTTCAATTCACTGGCAACCAGCCGGGGCTATAGCTCAGCAGCACAAGCACTTTTCTGGTAAGTGAGAGGTCATGAGTTCGATTCCTCATACAAAAAAAATGTTGGCAATCAAAAGGTAGAAAATCATCAAAAAGATCATACATAATGACTAGAATTCATTCTAGGGACCTTATCTCAATTTTGTAAAAACTATTTATCACAAACCAATGGCCAACATCGTATTATAAGGGGAAGCTATAAGTTTTCCTTATAAAATCAGGAACAAGACAAAAATATTCATTGTCACCACTCCTGTTTAATGTAATCCTTGAAACCTCAGCCAGAGCAATCAGGCAAGAGAAAGAAATAAAAGGGGTATGTGGAGGGAAGGAAAAAGTTAAATTATCATTATTTGGAAATGACATACTTTTCTACATAGAAGACCTAAAAAATTCTACCAAAAGACTCCTAGAATTAACAACCATGTTCAGTAACATGGCAGGATACAAAATCAGTACTCAAAAAGCAACAAAATGGTTTGGCATGGTGGTGCATGTCTGCAATCCCATCACTTGAGGAGTTGAGACAGGAGATCACTGTGAGTTCGAGGCAGGCAGGGGTACATTAAGTGCGTTCAAGGCCAGCTTGCACTACATAGCAAGAGCCTCTCTGAAAAAACAAAATGAGCAATCAGTCAATCAAACAGACAAACCCAATAGCATTCATGTATACCAATAATAGACTCATCAAGAGAGAAACTAGAGAAAAAATTCCTTCCACAACATCAAGAAAGGTGAAATGGGGGCTGGGGATTTAGCTCAGCGGCATAAGCACCTGCCTTGCAAGCAGGCAGTCGTGAGTTCGATCCCTGGTACTGATAAAAATGAAAAAGATTAAAAAAAAAAAAAAAAGAAAGATGAAATGTTTAGGGATTAATTTAAGCACAGAAGTGACAGATCTCTACAATGACAGCTACAGAGTACTCTGAAAAACATTGAAGAAAATATCAGACAAAGGAAAACTAGCCCTTGTCCTGGATAGACAGAACCAATATAGTCAAATTGGCCACACTTTTAAAAACTAATACACAGATTTAATGAAAATACAAGAAAAATATCAACACAGAGTTAGAGAAAAGAATCCCAAAATTTATATGGGAACTGAAGGGACCTAAATAGTAAAAGAAACACTGAACAACAAGAAAAAGGCAGGAGGCACCACAATCCTGGACTTCAAGTAGTATCACAAACCTACAGTGCTAAACAAACACACACACACACACACACCAGCATAGTGCTGGCAAAAAACAGACAGTGGAACAGAATAAAGGATGAAGAAAATGACAGGAACCCTCGTTACTTGATTTTGACAAGGAGACCAAAAATTTTCACTGGAGGAAAATTAGATATTTTAAGAAAAGGTGCTGGGAACTGTGGCTATCCACATGCAGAAAGTCCAATTTAGATCCATATCTCTCACCATGTGCTAAACTAAAGTCAAAATGAATCAAAGATCCAAGTAAAAAACCAGAAATATTTGATCATCTAGAAGACAAAATAGGCAAAACTCTTGACATAGGCATAGGCAAGGACTTTCTGAAAAGAAAGTGCAATTAAGCACTTAAAATGGTATCAAGAATCAACAAATGGTATCATGTCAAATTTAAAAACTTTTTCAAAGCAAAGGAAACAACTAACAAAGTACAGAGACAACATACAGAATGGGAAAAAATGTTGTCAGCTAACCCCTGGTCAGAGAACTAATATCTGGAATATATAAAAAATAAAAAGCATAGTTCCCCCATAATAAAAGTCCCAGTGAAAATATGGGCAAAATGAAGTGAGTAAACACTTCTCAGAAGAAGTACAACTGGCCAATAAATAAATGAAAAAATCTTCAACATTTTGACCTGAAGAGAAATGCAGATTGAAACAGCACCGAAATTCCATCTCACTCTAGGAAGAATGCCTAAACAAGAACTCACATAATAACAAACGCTGGTGAACGTGCAGTAATAAAGGTTCCTTTCTTCACTGTTGGTAGGAATGTAAACTAGTACAACTAGTATGGAAATCAGTGTGGAGATTCCTCAAAATTCTAGAAATAGGAATTCCATTTGACCCAGTTATTTTCCTTCTATGTATGTTTTTGAAAGTTAAAGAAATCATATTACAGTGGTTTGTGCACACCCATGTTTATTGCAGTACAATTCACAGTAAATCTTGGAAACAGCCTATATGTTCATTCAAGATGAATGGATAAAACAAATATATTTATGCATAAGGAAATCCTACTTTGCCATAAAGATAAACTTGAGTCACTTGTAAGAAAATAGATGATCTTGAGACCGTAGTGTTAAATGAAGTAAATCAGTCACACAAGTTTAAATATTGCATGGCTTCTTTTATTTATTTTATTTTATTGTTTTTATTTTTTGAGACAGGGTCTCATTTCAAAATTTAGCCTGGCCTTGAACTCACTATGCAGCCCAGGCTGGCCTCAAACTCACAGCTATCCTCTTGTGTCAACCTCCCAACTGCTGGGATTACAGGCACCACCATGCCCAGCTTACATGGCTTTTTTTTTGGTAGACAATGTATGACTTTATTGATAAATAATGTAAAATCATTGATGATAACTGTTTAAACATTAATTTTTTTAAACAACCAAGTTGGGTTAAATTTGTGCATAATGGTCTCTATAGCATTGCAAATACACACATGAAAATATTCCCTATTTCCATGCCCAGGTATTCAGCTATGACATTTCATACAAATTATTATTTGTAATAATAGATAAGATAATAGATTTGTAATAATAGACAAGATAAACAGTAACAATGAATATTGATTTGGACTGCCACAATTAAATAGATATTATATCGAGTAATAGCCTATGTTTGTTACACTCTGGATGTCAGGTTGTAGTACGTAGTTACTTAAAACTTAATTCCTGGTCTCCTCTAAAGGGCCATCTTTTGTATATGTGGTACCTGAATGAAAGCTGAGGAATGCATTTTGACCATAATACAAAATTCACACACAAGAGGGTTTTTGCATCCTGCTCAAAAAGAAGCTTTTCATTTACTCAAAATGTATGGCTTTTTTAAAATATGAGAAACTAAAATTATAAATGAAGATCAAAATAAAAGAGATAATAGGAAATAGCAAGATAGGTCTTTAGCATGTGGGTAAGGAAACCAAGAGACAAAGGGGGTGGGAGGGAGCAGAAGGAAATGGGATAAGAAAAAGAATTGTGATGTGTTGTGTAAATTATAAAGTCCCTGTGAGGAACATGATTATTATATAAAAAATAGAGAAGACATGAATGTAGAGCTTAAATAAAAAGAAAGATGACTGTCTTAAAAAAAAATGGAGAAGGGCTCCAGAAGATGGAGAGAGAGGGAGAGAGTGAAGGCAGAGGGGAAGATGAATTAAGACGTGTCATGTACGGGCAACAACTCATGATTAACATGATCATCATGTATTACAAACATACTAAAAATACATCATGGGTTGTGTACTTTAAATACATACCATTTTAATCATC